TGGATTACATACAGTACGTATGCCAGTCATTGACATTGGATTCACCGGGTACCAGGTACCAGATCCCGGCAGCCTGGTGGCCCATCCAGCCACACAGCGCACAGCTCTTTAGCGATATACCAAGCTGGGAAGAAGAAACCCCACTCCGATTCCCAAGGTTTATTATTATGGATTCCGTTTTCCCCGCTGTCACTTCTGGATGGATGGAGCCTGGGGCACTGGACCAGATGCCAGGGTGAGTCTAGACCCTGGCGATAATGGCATTGACGAATTTCAGTTAGCCTGCCTCCCTAGGGGAAGATCAATAGGTAGGGAAGCAGTGCTGCTCGAGCTCAAATAAGAGCTTTGTATGTATATGTACAGCAATGATAGCACCGGGATTGAGCAGGTGCGCGTAGGCTTTGCACAAGGATCGCAGATTTATTTCCTTAACGTTCTAGATCTAGACCTAGACCTAAACACCAAACTGAGGCACTTCTCACGAGTTATAGCTAGCTATCTTCTCCCTTTAGCTTAACTGACTGCTACTCAAGCAAGAGGCTCGTTTTTGCAATTACAATTTGCTTGCTTTTGCGATCCGCAAAGCCGTTCTGGGGCACTGGCCAATCATGTTCCAGGATACGGAGGCCAAGGTACCTAAATCACCTGACTGCAGGTGACGTGCAGACGATCCGATCGATGTTCCTGGCGCTAAACCTGAACAGGAATAGTGAAGCCGACGTTCAACCTTCAAGAATTCAGCGGTTACGGAGGAGGTCTGAATCAGTCTGATGTCCGTACACGGGATGCGATGCCTGTTGTTATCTACAATAATAGGTACCTACCTCGACTGATCACTGCTTGTTTCAGTCTTCCAGACCACCTTCCGCTTTTCTGTGACGTTCAAGTCCGGGTCATGTTGACAGGTGACATGCAAAAATAACGCAAACTGCAGAGGAGCAATAATACCAGTGTAGAACTGCTGTGTGCTTCACCCGAGACTCCTCGGTCATTAAATCATTGTTGACTTCTTTTTTTTCCAGTAGCATCCTGGCAACGGTGTTATTATTGTCGCTGCCTATATGCATATGTCATGTGACATGTCATCCCCTAACTTAACCCACGTGCCTAAGCTTTAGGGAGTAGGTAGGGCCTCGGATTCCCGTCTAGTCCGTACCAGGAAGCTTTTGGGGGCCACCTGCACCTACTGCTCTACCTTATCGATCGGATTGACTTGATGCCGAATTCACTCCACAAGAAGAACTAAGTAAGAAGGACTGCGTAGTACCAACATGGATGTTTCCAGGAAGGTACTGTACTGTACATGTACTTCCTCTAGGTAGTTATTCCCCTGCAAAGTGTTGGTTCAACTTGACTGCGGGATGCACCACTCCGTCTTATGATCTGTTTCTTTTCGAGGGGATGGTGCGTGTGTAACTTCATAGGACATTAATTGACTGACCTTTGCCTGTTCTTTCCTACTGGTCTGCTATTTTTTACTTCCCTGCAATGTCTGACAAGGGCCGTTTCTGCGCAACATAATAAAGGAGACTCAGGAGAATGTTTGAGAAGCATGCGCAGATACCAGAGAATTAAACATGTGCACAGTCCAGCTGTCAGACACGATCTGAGCACCCAGTCTTCGGGGTCTGGACTGGGGTCAAATACGGAGTACTCCATCGTGCAGTTCATCGGCCAACAGATATGCTCACATCTGTTTCGGTGGCGCATTGGTGCCTCTGACGGCTGTTGGTGGTGTGCGGATGACAAGCAACGAACTGTGTTCTCGAAAGTACTAGGTAGAGGTACCTAATGCCTGTGCGTCCTAGCGTGCCGTGCGCCAAATTCAATCCAATCCGATCCGCGATACCTACCTAACCTCTGACACGCCGTTCCACAAAGCAGGGTAAAGTTTAAGACGAGAAAAAAAAAGGTGAGGTTGAGCTCTATCAGAGAGCTACCTACCTAGCTATTCTCATGCAATAATCAAGCTTGGTACATCCTCTCGGAAAGGACGGAATCTGCTATTGTGCCGTCACGCAAGCCCACCCACAGAAAGGATCCGCGATTTCATCCATATTGTTCTCCTGTAGGAGGTACGTCAAGCATCCGCCAAGACAGTACTCGCCAATGTTTCTGGAAGACAGATTCTGTCCGTATGGAAATGAGCAGTACTATCGAGGTCATGGCAAGAATGTCAGGAAAAGCCTTTCCTCGACCGGAGTGCCGGTAGTTTCCGGGCAGTTGCCACGTCCGTCACACTCGTCCACTACATGTCTGACGGATTGACGGTTCGAGTTCAACCCGTTCATTGTCAGACAACATGTCTGTGTAGAGACTACTCGTGCTGGCAATGGCATGAGTAGAAGAATTCGGTATTCCGTGGATAGCCTCGACTGGGCTCTTCTTGCCGTGGCTGATGTCATTGTGGTTAGGACTTGGCTTTGTGGCGTCGCGTCAGGAGAGAACGGGATTCCGACCAGACCGCCACTGCCTGAAACAGACGATGCTGTGCGCCGTGCACCGTGCGGCAGGCTCCGACAGCTGCGGAGAAGAAACGTTTCAGCTGGGACGACCCGGGACGCGGCGCCTGATTGGGCGGTTGCCGAGCAGGGGGGCTCACCAGGTCGCGAGAAAGCAGCAGGTTTTCGCGGCTCGTCGTCCGAGGCGGCCGAAGCTCGCGCGAGCTGTCAGTCACGGGCAGGAGATCGAAGGCTCCACTCCCGGAAGCCAGCAACGGCTGCTCGCTGATTGGTGCGATCGGGGCAGGGGCGCCCAGGAAGGTTAGCGCACCGCGTGCAGGGGACGCCCCACCCCGAGTCGCGGTGGGCGCCCCGAGCTGCCACCAGCCAACACACCACTCGCCGCGCCCAATGCTGATTGCTCCAGCCCGCCTGGGCAGTGGCCCGTTCGCCGGCCACGAAGGAAGGGACTCGCTGGCGGCGGTGCAGTGGTGCCACTTGCCCGTGCCACAGGCGCTCTGCCTGCAGGAACCGCCCGAGTGCTCCTGCCTCCCTCGTCCGCGGCCCCTTGGCCTGGCTGCTCCCGCCGTGCGCTGCCCTGCCCAACGCGCACTAGGTCGTCCATCCGAGTGGGCGACGGTGCCCGTCCAGGGCCTCCATCCCGTCTCAGACTCTCTGCGTGCCTACCCGTCCTCTCTCACCTCGGGCGTCTTCCCTCGTTCCCTTCCCTCGCTCTTCCTCTCCCCATCCCTCCATCCTCTCCCATTTGTTACCGTCCGCCCTGTTTCCTATCATCCTCTCCTCCCTTTCTTTCGTTTGCTTTCCTTGTTTTGTTGCCCTCTCTGGATCGTCCGTTCACTCCTTTACGGCGTCCATACCGCTCCTTTGCCTCGCTATCTTCGCTTTCCCCCCCCCCCCAAACCCACGGTCCCTTCCGTTGTCGTTTTTCTCGCCCGCCTGCCGGGCTTTTGACTGGTCGCTCCCTCGACTTATCTTTTCCCAGTTCGGTCTCTTGAGACTCGACTCGCCGACTCCGTGTCGCCTTTTCGAATCTGGTTCCAGCTGCCTTGGTCAGCTGTTGACTTCGCTCTTCACCTCCGATCCCGCTTCGGACACCGCCTGCTCTCAGCAGCCCTCCGCTTGTCACCAGCAGAGATACTACTTTCCTTCTCTTCCCTTGTCGGACGGAGCGCTGGGGCGCTTTCAATCCGACCGTTTTCTCCCCTCTCTCTTCGTCCGCGCCTGAGGCGACTTCGATCAAGAGAGATACGATTTGACGACCTTTTTGTACCATTTCTCGTCGGCCGGATCGTCGCACCAATTCGCCGGATTCTGAACCCTGATCGAATCGGCATTTTCTTTTCTCGAACCTTTTCCATAACATCTCAGCCATGTCTTCGACAGACAATCCTGCCGCGTCGACCTCGTCGACGAGTGCGGCCACTCCTACCAGCTCGACCTCATCCCCTTCGACCACGACACCAGCCGCCCAACAACAATCCCAATCCCAATCCCAATCCCAGACGCAGAACCAGAACCAGAGCCAGAGCCAGAGCCAGACCCAAACGTCTCGCCGCCCCCAGCGCAAAAGCACCCTGACTCAGCAGCAGAAGAATCAGAAACGCCAGCGTGCGACTCAGGACCAATTGGTCACTCTCGAACTCGAATTCAACAAGAACCCCACCCCGACGGCTGCGACGCGGGAAAGAATCGCCCAGGAAATCAACATGACGGAGCGATCCGTGCAGATCTGGTTCCAGAATAGGTTCGTAGCGGTCAATTGAGCATTTCCGTGTGCTGTCTCTGGCTGACCGCTGTTGTAGGCGAGCAAAAATCAAGATGATTGCCAAGAAGAGCATCGAGACTGGGGAAGACTGCGATTCAATCCCAGAATCCATGCGTCAATATCTGGCCCAGCAATTTGACCCTAACAAGCCTGGTGGTAGAGACCTGTTCGGCCGGACGAGTGGATTGGGTGGATACGGCTCCAATGGTGGCTATTCCAACGAGTCTGGCCACTCGGGCAAGATTGGTGAGTATAGGAGGGTTTCAATTGATTGTTGCGGTCGGACCGACCAAAAACAGGATTGCTGACCTCTCCCTACCTAGTCATCCACCACTTCACTTGCCATTCTCTGAGCATCGGCACCTGGCGCCGTGTCGGGCAGAATGCAATGGACCTGGTCATCTTTTATTCCCCCGAGAAGGCTACCATGACCTACTACATCAACAATGACTCAGCCGGTTATAAGATCGAGTATCCTTTCTCGTACATCAAGAATATCACTCTCGAAGCGGGTGACCAGAACGCCAACGTGAACGGAGCGCCACCACGGCCCAGCGGCTTGGTGGTGGAGTTGAATCACCCGCCGCTTTTCTACATGGATTCTTCCAACTCGGGCGGTTTCTACCAATGCGGCGACTTCACCGAAGACCAACAGGCCAGCCGTGTTCTGGTCCATCACCTGGGTGGTCATCCCAAAGTTCTCAGTGTGCAGCTAGCGAAGCTCGTGTCGCTGGAAGCGTTCCAGAACCGGTTGGCATTCAACAACTATGCTGCTGTATCTGCCCCTGTGACGCCGCCCCATGGCATCCACCGTCCGGCATCCCAACCGAACCAATTCCCCATGGCTCAAATGGGAATGTATCAGGATAATCACCTCAATGTCAATCTCATGCAGCGTGGTCACAAGCGCCAGCGCAGTCGATCGGTCCCGGCTGCCGTGGATGTCTCGGCTATGCAGACGCCTATGGCTCCGGTCCAAATGCAGCAGCCGGTGTCTCAACTCGCGGCAAATCCGGGAATCTTTGCGCCGGTCCCTCAGCATCAGGCCACGCAAGGGGTGGGAACCAATCTCCGAATCGACACCGCTTCTGCGTTTGCAATGGATACAAGTAATTACCCAATGTCTGCAGGCGCGATCTCGGATTACGCCAGCCCCTCATTTTTCACTTCTGCACCTCACTCCGAAACGATTCCCATGGTGACGAATCCTGGAAGCCAATATGACGTCTCATTTGCTTCGCCCCAGATGATGGTTGACCAGTCGAAGTTGATGAGCCAGCCATCGTCGATGCCCAATGTGAACCATGCAGACCCCTTGATTGCCGATCAGTCGCCGCCTCTGTCGACGATGCACGGCACAGGCCCAACAGACATGTTCTCGTTTGGTGGTGAACAACCCAACGGCTTCTCGGAGGATGGATTATTGCTGAACGAGATGTACTCGAAGCCTAACCTTGAGAACTTCCCCATGGCTACACCGGCCGGGATCGAACAGTCGACTTTTGAATTCCCAATGCATGGGTTGCCGGATCAGCAGTCATCCAACACAAACGGGGACTTTCCTGGTGTGGTTCCCTATGACATGATCGACCCAACATCGACAACATGAACTCTTTTTGGGTTTGGTTAAATATTGACTTGCCTCTGGTATAAACGGCGTTGATACACGCCACTGCGAATGCCAATTGCACCAAACATGTGGCGTTCCTTCGTGGACTGGCTGGCTACTGGTGCATGGCGTCTTAGGGTGGGATGGGGTATTCTTGCTTTTCTATCTACTTCTGTGGGTCACTTCAACGAGATCCCTGGCTATAATCTTGGACTCGTGATCGACCTGCCGATCTCAGGGCCCCATTGCCGGGACAGGGTACCTGGCACCACATGGTTGGGAACTTTTCTCTCACCTGCCGACTTTTTCTTTTAACTTCTTCTTTTTTTCGCCCCTTCGCTAGGTTGTATAATACTTTGTCTCCTACGGCCGGTTCTGTAGTCTTTTCCTTCACCCGATTTTTTTCTATCATCTTACGGTTTTTGTTGCCTACAGAAACTTTATTCTCTTCCTCTTCATTCTCCCAACCATTTGCTTTGCATTTGATTTGTGCGATTCTTCTCTTTTTTTTTTTTTTTGTAGACTTTGCGACAGTTAATTGACGTGAGCATGCGAGAAAGTCGGTTTTAGGCACCGACTATACTTTTTTGCATTGTATCTGGGTCTGGCGGACGAAGGGCCATTGTCAAAAATCGATAATAATATAAGATCTTCGTCATTGTCCACTTTGCTTCATACCTTTTTTTCTTGTGTTGATCAGGACCATGCTGCTTCCCTGGGAACCAGGTGCAAGCCAGACAGATTGGACAGCATTCACTTTCCTGTTGGCGTTCAGTCTGAGCATCTTCATAACTGCGCTGCTTCTTGCTGCTGAGACTCGGCAGGCGTGGGGATTTGTTTTGGAAGGACCTGGTTTTGGTATAGCACTGTTCGACATAGTTTCCGTGAGCAAATGAAGCAAAGATTAATCCAGGATTTGGTGCTCTAGTATGCAATAGACGCTCCTGTTCAAGTGTAGATTGGTATGTGCGAATAACAATAGACGCTCAATGCATCCTCATCCATGTCTACATGCAGGTCTGCAAAGACTGGGGACATCCCATGCCGCATGTTGTTTGTTAGTTGTCTACATAGTGAGGGAATCAGCAAAGGCATTCTTTGCCCGCCTGAGCCCCCAATTTTCCGATGTCTTGTATGACGAGGTATACTCCTGTACAACAAGGACATTGTCAACAGACTTGGTGCTTATCCGTTGGCACCCCTTTCTGTCATCGCTGCTTCCTTTTGCTTTAATCAAGCCTCTTCCCATCCCTTGGGCACTCGTGCTTTCAGACCCCTTTTTTCCCGGAGGTATTTCTCCATGACCACCTCCATCTTGGCCAGGAAGCCCCTATAATCCATGTTCTCTCTCCCTGCGTCCGCGCCTATGCCGTGCTTGACTCCGTCCTTGCACCATACACTCCACGCGCCCATCTCTGCTGCCAACAACGTGTCCGTCCCAATTCGATCGCCCACGACTGCGATCTCGTCTGCGTGCTCGACGACCCCGCGCTCCCTGAACCAAGCCAGCACCTCTGCGCCACAGAAGGGCTTCCTCCGCGCGCCGCGCGGGACGCGGAACACGGGAATGCGTAGCGACGCCAGCTTCTCTTCAAGTTGGCGCGCTTCCGCCTCGTAGACGGCAGAGTCTGGTCTGCTCCCCGCCGTGTTGGAGACGATTAGGATTCCATTGGGGTTGCGCGACAGGTTGAAGGGAGACGTGGGTGAGGTGCGAAGGCTTTCCAGCTTGCGCAGGTAAGGCGTAGGGAATTCAATGGTTTTGGGAGCACACAGGGTATTATCCTTGTCAAGGACTAGGGCGCGGATTGTCGGATGCTGTTGTTGTCGCTTTGGAGAGGAGGATGATGACGAAGAAGTAGAAGTAGAAGACGAGGTTTGCTGCTGCTGTTGTTTTTTGGGGATAGAGATGCGGGCCCAGCTGCTCAGGGAGGTCGAGAAAGGTTGAGATGGTGAGGTTCGGGATGAGATGGGATGGGTTCTTTAGAAGAGTCGAGACAGTTAGATTGAAGGCGTGGATGTTCGAATTGAATAGAGGCGCCATTCTTTGAGATTGGTTTCGCAGGGTGGTTCTGTAGAAAATCAATCACATTATCATCGATCTGTAGTCGGAGAACATGGAGGGCGCAGCTGGAAAATGGAATTTTTAGATTTGAGGGATAAGATTAAACTTCTAAATCATTCCTGACTATGGAAAAAATTTACATATATACCATATATTCAAATAATAACTCTCCTTTGTAAAGTTGAACGAGCGAAAATTGTTTTAATCGATTGTATCTAATACCTGGCCAATGCTGAAGAAGCTTCGTTGAAGCTTCCAAAGTCGAGCGGCCTGCAGTTGGCACCGGAAGCTTCAGCAGAGCCGCAAAACTCTCCGCCCCACGACTCCGCTGTCTTTCACCTTTTCCTTCCGCAAGCCAGACCGCGCAGAGGAGATTTAGAGCTCTGCCATTTGATTTCTTTTCTCTTATCGCCTGGGTTGTTTAGAGCGACGATTCCGAATATTGCTCTCCTCGCCTAGACAACACCCTTCTCCCACGGCGCGCTTTCACCAACTTGTGATTTCACCGCCCTCTTGACCTTGACCTTGGACCTTTCACGCGACACGACTTGCGATCATGGGTAAACAGGCCAGCACGATCGGGATTCCCATCAAGCTTCTGAACGAAGCTCAGGTGCGTCGTTTCTACATATGTTTTCCACCGACTTTGGAGGATTCTTGTGGCTTTGGATTCTCGTCCGACTGTGACCAGAGACTTTGCATGAACTCGAATGCTGACGAGTCTTGGGTGCACGCAGGGACATGTTGTTACGTTGGAGATCACTTCCGGCCAGGTGTATCGAGGAAAGCTGCTTGAAGGTCCGTCACATGCGTCCGTTTTACTCTGTTGGCGTACCCTTGTTCTCGACGATAGCTGAAAATCTGCTTTCCCCGGCTCCCCTCCCTTCTTGCTTCATTTCGTCGCCGGTTTTAGTTGAAAATAATCTCTTCTCGAAGTATACTGACGTTTGCTTTCGTATACAGCTGAGGATAACATGAACGTTCAACTCAAAGATATAACCGTCACGGCGCGTGATGGTCGTGTGTCGCATTTGGACCAAGTCTACATTCGCGGAAGCCACGTGCGATTCTTTATTGTACCAGACATGCTAAGGTATATTCGATTTACCGTCTCGCTCTCTTCTCTGATACGCATATCTTGTCTATCTTGTCAGTTCAAGCACTAATATTCTCCCACCTGCAGGAATGCCCCCATGTTCCGCACTCGAGGCCAGCGTGGCAGGGGTGTTGGTCTGGCTCGTGGAAAGGCCACCGTCAACAGGGCTAGAGGACAGAAGAGGGGTTGAGGATGTCTACCCCTGCTACGGATACCAAGCTGGATTGAATTGGATCTCACTCAGATCTACGACCTCCTTCGACAATTACAACCCGTTCTTCTTTTCCTCTCACGACACTGAATTCCATCTCAATATTTCCATGGGCCCCTGCAGACTCAAGGGTTCGGGCCAGGGGCGACCGTGGTTTCCTACTGAGGTAATGTCTTCATGATTGGGGTCATAGGGAGAAGGGATGTCGGCTGTTACTCTGCTTTGCGGTACCAATATTTGTCTGTGTCTTATTTGATTGTGAAAAATGGCGAAAGGGTATAAAGAAAATCCAGTTTAACTTTTATTGACCATATCTCGATGAATAAATATGAAAAGATGCTCTGAATGGATCTCCTTGCTAGCAATCATATGCGTACATGTATTCCGCGGATTAGCGGGCGGCGTAAGAAAGCTCCGCTGAGCCCGCCCGCATCATTTGCCCATCTCACCCCGCCATCCCATCGTACATCGTTAGCTATTATCCAGCATATCTTTCCGTTTCTCCCGTCGAGGAATTTCTGCCTTGTCTTCAGAATGGTCCCGAGGTGACAAAATATTGTACCTACAGGGGGAAAAATATGATATTTATCCGGTCGTTTGGTTGATGGATATTTCCTAATCGATTTTCCTTCCGTCTATCATCTGAACTAGATCATCTACGTACACATAAAAATCATGGCACCTCAGTCTAAAGACGCTTACGGCCCTCCTCCTCCTCCTCCTGCAGGCCAGGATCGGAACCAGAATGAGCTCCCCAAACCGAAACGTATCACGAATCCGCGCCGTCTCCTCATTGTCTCGCCGACCTCGCACGCCCAGAGCACGATTCCTCCGCTTCTCCATTCCCTCACCGGTGTACCTGTGACTGCGCCGCCGCAGGCTGAATCAACCTCTACTGGTACAGTTTCTGCAGCAGCTGCAGATAATAATGCAGATACCAAGACGCAACCGTTTACGACGTCCTTTGCCGGGTACACGACGCATGCACCGTTGCGGATACAGACCAAGTACTACACTGCGGACGTGCCGATATGGGTGGATGAGATCCCTCTGACACTGCCTTCTTCTTCTTCTTCTTCTTCTTCTTCTTCTTCCTCCTCCTCCTCGTCCGACTCCAATAATAATGAAGGTCGTGAAGAGATTTCTTCTTCGGAGCAGCAGCAGCAGCAGCAGCCGCAAGATTCAACCGCGCCGTCTACTTCTTCTACTACTACCCCAACAACAGCGCAGTGGAAAACGGAATTCTTGAGCGAAGAAGCGCGCGTCGTCCGCGACGCGATCGGCGCGATAGTCATCTGCGCGCAGAACCCGGATGCTCCGAGCTCGTCGATCCCGAAGGAGGCCTACACTGCTACTGCTGCTACTGCTAATACTACACTGGCGTCGTCACGCGCAGATGTTCGTGCGCTTAAGGACCTAGTCCAGATGATCGCCGACGTCAAGAGCCAGACAGAAGAAGAGAGGGGGGAAACGGGCGAAGTACCGGGGTTATTGGTGCTCGTTGGCGAGAAGAAGAAGAGTCGCAAGCAGCAGCAGGGAGGCGCAGATAATGATGATGACGATGGGGTCGAAGGACTCAAGGACCAAGAGGTATTCAGCGCTGCGTGGTGGGAAGATGAGCTCTATGACATGGGTGTGTTTGGCTTCGAAGTCGTGGTCTGGGACCCTAAGGCGGATAAGAAAGAGGAGGAGAAGAGAAATAAGTTTGGAGGTTTGTTTCCCCTCTTTCCATGATTACGAGTGACCGACTGACTAACTAACTGACAAATTACAGAATACGAAGGCATGCGCCGCATCAGAGAAGTCCTCGAAACCCACGATTGGTCGGCAGCAACTACTACCTCAAAAGACCACGACGACGACCACGAAGACTCTATCCTGCACTCAGAAGAAGACGGGGAACACGATGATGGCTTCAAACTCGAAGTCGACGAACTCGAGCGGGAAATGATGGGTCTCAAATTCGCTATCCAGAACGGTGGTGATGACGATAACGATGACGATGATCATAACGAAAAAGACGCAGAGATGAAAGTTGAAGAATTGGAGACTTTGATGATGAGGATGCGCGCTATTAAAGGTATGTTTCTTCGTTCTCATTTCTTTATCTCATCCTAAGGATAGATGCACTTGCTTTCTCTCGGCAATAGAATACTAATGTTATTTGTTCTGTTCGTCCAGACATGAGCGCCGATCTACCAGAAAGCCAGCGCAAAGCGTTCGCCACAAAGGCTATCCAAGATATTATGCGGGAGTTGTAAACCATGTCGAGCCTCAGCAATTGCAGGCAGCTATTATGTACAGTGTATATATATGTTTGCTGGTCAATTAACCATCTGCCTCTTAATTCATGAAATGTAGTGCTGCTGAGTCTTCTCCTTGAAGTTGCATGACCGCCATTTACTGCGGATAACGGTTCGATTGGGGGATTCTTTTTTCGCAACAGCGAAGAACTCAGTCTGCCCTGTTCTTTCCCCTCAAGACCTTTCTTCTCTGCGCCATCATGTGCGTGTACAGGATGTAGGATCCTATATTTCCACTGTCAGTACTTGTTCGCTTTGAGATGGATGCATCAACATCATCAAGTGGAAATGCAATGGCAGCCTACCTGGGACATAGATCACAAGCGTCGCGATCAAGAACCACCGATACAGAGGGTGCAATTCTGCAGCAGGTTTGAGAGCCTTCCAGACCAGGACACACTCGCTGCTGATTCCCATGGGATAGAGAACATAGAACGTGTTGTATCTGGCTTCGGGTCAGCCGACAAAAAGCCCACCAGTTCAGTAGATTGGAACCCACCTCAACCACGTCCACCAGCTCGGCACACCTTTCCCCCAAAGTTGCAAAGCAAAGTATCCATATCTGATGCACTCGGTAACTCCCCACGCAGCCAGGCAGCCCAGAAACGCCCAGTCCCCAACCTGAGCGCCTTCACCTGGCAGGGCTCCCTTTCCTACAATTCCCTCATAGTCGCCTCCGAGGATACCCTCACCAGGAGCAACAAAGCCCGAACCCTCATGGAATAGGAACATGACACCCCACACGACCAGGAATCGGCTCGCCACTTGCAGGAAAGTAGTAAACACAGGCGCCCGCACGATGCCCACGATCGAATGCACGATTTCCAGAAACGCCAGCGACTGCGCTACCGTCAACAGCGGCGAGAATAGATGCGTGAATATGGCCGGGACATGGCCGATCGGTGCCAGAATGGGGACCAACAGTGCCATTCGCAGTGTGCAAGTCGCCCAGAGGCCAAAGCAGATGACGTTATACGCGACAAGGTAGGTGCGGACCGGCCTCGAAACAGCTTTGCGAGAGGGCGCGGTTGACGCCGCGGTTGTTTGCGATGGAGGCATGGCTGCTTGCTGTATTTCTATTATTTCGCCAATTGTTTGAAGTGAGCGTCCGACTGAGGATAGGGGCCGGGTTCTGCCCCGGAGACGTGAATAACTGCGTGCGGAGGAAGAAACTGGAAGTACGCAGGAGCTGAGGTAAATTCGTCAGTCAGGCAAAAAAAAATTTCGAGAAAGAGAACAATGCGGTTCCGGTCTGTCTGATGTGAATAGTTCTCTGAAGTTGAGGCACAGGTCCGCAGCCAGCTCAGGAAGAAAGACTGTCTGGGTACGTACCTCCTAGGTAGATGTTATTACTTAACGTTGGGGTGTAAGAGTCCAAATGGATGCTTCCGCGGTTTCCCTTTTGGGCCAGATGGGGTCAAAAGTCTGGTCCGCAGGCAAGGAAGGTCCCAGGAAGGGCTGTTGACTAACGGGGCAGCCTCGGCCCAACACTCGACACCCCTTGCGCTCCCCTTCTACAATAAACTCCCACTCAACACAGCTTACAAAGTACAGTCAATTGGTTTGCAAAACATTTTATTGGAACCAGTGTCTTTTGCAACTACAAACAGTCGACTAACACTATTAATGACACAGCCAATAGCTCACCAGATTAGGTCTCGCATGTGGTGTACCCCAAACATGTCGCCTCCATTACGTACTCCACATGAATAATAATACCGCGAGTCAAAAAGCGAGACAAACGATATGAACACACAAGGAACTTGAGGAATTACATGGGTATACTATTTCTGTTTCTGTTTCTGCTTCCAATTCTTGTCCTGTCAGTAAGGCATTCGCTCTATGAAGTGCGAACCTCTGCAGGGGCTGGTGATTCTGCAGGACCTGCGATAGTTCCTAAGGCCTGGTCGACCTGCTTGGTAAAACCACTATCACCAACCACCTCGACACCGCTTTGGGACTCATAGGTCACGGCGTGTCCGTTAGGTCCCTGAGAACGCTCCCTTAACGTGCCCTCCGCCCTGTCGTGCGGCTTACGGGTGATTGGAGCAAGCTTGGGCAGGTCCTTGGACTGCGAAGCCCCGCCAATATCGAAGACTGGAGATTGCCAGCGGTCGCCCTTAGTGGCCAGTTCCTTGTATTCCGTTGCCTTGTTGGTAATGAGGCCCGGCAACTTAATGTCCTTGAAGAGAGCGTCGTGTTGAGTGGCCGTCACCTGCATCTTGGTCTGACGTTGTTGAGCAATACTCTCAGCCTTCTGCCTCTTCTCCATGAGCGTCTGGCGGACCGCATCAACGTAGCGAGAGTAGACGTTCGGAGCGTTTTTGGGATCTTCTCTGATAGACGCTTGGGCACGCTGAGCTTGAGTGTATACGTTGTATGCAAATGCATCGGCTTTGGCGAACGCGTCTCGAATCTGCTTCTCGAGCACTCTCTGCACGACTGGCTTGACGACACTGAAGAGTATTGGTCTGAAGAGATTGAAGAGAATTTTGTGCTTGGACTTCTTCAGCTTAATGTCAAGATTCCTGACGGTAACAGAAACTCTGTCCGCTTTGACGAAGCGCTGCCTGTCGCCGTCGGTGGGTGTTGCAGCTGCGATCTTGAAGCTGAACCCCTCACCGCCAAGGTAGATGTCCATGACCCCAGTATCCGTGATTGAGGGGAAGCCTTGCTTCTTCCTGATATAGTAACTGACATCTAGCAAGCAACACTCAGCCATACATTCGAGACGCGTTCAGAAAGAGAAATCCTTACCTTTAATATCGGCCTGAATTCCAGATGCAGCGATCATGATCTATGGCTGCCGTCAGCTGCTGAAGTCAATCGATCAATGCAATATCTGGAAACCAACCCTGTGATCATGTTTGTTACTGATTCCCTTCCGACCCCAGCGCCAATAGTTGTCAGAGCCAAATTCAAAGACATTGGGTGTCAGGTTGTCACTCTCAATGACGATATTATCAACGACCTAGTGAAGACATGAGCTTCCTGCTTTTTGTCCGTCTTCCTCAATCCAGGTCAACTCACCGCGTCAAGTAATTGGTCAGAGACTTCAATCCGAGGGAGAGGGATATAGCGAAGGTTCTCGAAAATCTCTGGGATGACAACGGTTGCAATGTCCTTTAAGAGATGCGGCTTGAACTTTGGGAATCCCCTCTCATCTGTACCGAGATTCTTGAAGAGCTTTAGCAGAGATTTGCTCAAAGCCTTATTCTGAGGGTCCTCATAGAATTGTGTGGTAAGGAATTTGATCTCGTCAACAATACGCTCAACGTGGTTTCTGTAGCGGTCGCGCAACAAGAAGCTGCCCTGTTCATACAGTTTATTCCACTCCTGCGTGGCAGCATCCTGCATGATGTAACCTTGCTCGCACAAGCATTTCCTGATCCGTGTCAGTGCCAGATCCTTACATGTGTTTCTCCTTTTCTTCCCATTACAATCTAACCAGGAAATAGTCCAGACTCACCTGATGTAAGTATTCATTTCTTTGAACCAGTCCTTCAATTGAGGGTCCCGATCCGCATCACGATAGAAATTGTTGACCGACTCAAAGAAATCATCGGTCGATGTGCTGTTCGCAAATCGCTCGATCAAAGTCTTGAGACCCATCAGCATGCTTTTATATTTTTCTCTGAATCATAACCATACCTTCAGATCAGTCGCGGCCCTTTGCAAACTTGGGTCGGTTCTGGCACATTTCAGCGTGCCAGTGCCCTGCTGGGACACATTCTGTACATGGCCTCCATAGGTGTCTATGAGAGACAACAGTGTTTGAATAGCTTGCTGATCTGGAAGTTGAATTAGCGAAGTTATTAGAGAGGTTGTCCAGAGGTTATGTATGCAGTTTTCGAGTCAAGGTCGACAATATTTGAAATAGATACTCACAGTCAGAACGCCCCTGGATCTCGAGGATCATCTTCTTCAGACGCCAGAGGAGCTTATCACGCCGTTCCGGAGGCATCTTGCTGGAAAAGAATTCCTGGGTCTGTCGTGCAATCTCATTGGCGCGATTCTTTGCATCCTCGCTAACACTTTGGGATGCAGTCGATGCAGTCTCTTTGAGACGCGAAGCAGCTGCAGCACCACCAGCGCGAAAATCAATCTCGGAGATAGGAGCACTCTCCCGGTCACCAATTGCTGCTTTTGTGGCCGCGTTGGCTGCCTCCTCGACCTCTTTAGGATCCTGCACTTAAATTAGTAGGTCGAACAAAACGGTGGACTTGAATTTGAACTTGCCACGTGCGCGTATTTTTCCACCTGAGCCTTGAACTTGTTCGTGAGTTGCTCTCTGGAAATGTTCGGCTTATCGTGCCAGGCATTTTCTTCTGCAGGCTGCTCAATCTGGGAGAGTTCCTCCTCAGATGGCTTAACCTTTTCGGCAACTTTCTGGGTTGCATCTCCAGCGATTTCGCGCAGGAGAACGACAGCGTCACTGACTACAGACAATCAACACAAGTGGCTCACCAATGGTAAATAACGATGATTAAACATACGCAACTTGCGGAACTCTCCATTGGTGATTATAAGAGTACCCAGAGTCTTCAATCCCTGCGCAGCATTGGTGGTATCTTGTTTGGCGCTTTCCTTGTCGACCGGCCCATCCATCTTTGTCACGTCAGGAGGCCTGATATGCTGAGATTCCCAGATGAACTCCTGCAGAAGGTCGCCTTCATTTTTGGTGATGAATAGGAGCTTCGCTTGTTCAATAACATCACGAAGATCCTTCACAAGGGCCCGACCCTCCTCCGACAGCTCCTTCGAGGGGGATGCGAGATACTTGGAGTTGATGACGCTGTTTAGAGCAACATCGCATTGTTTGTTCTGCTAGAATGTCAGGACCTACCCAATCCCCCAACAGAAAACGATATTATCGGAGAACGTACTGATGGCAGCTTGCCATTGATAAAGCCTATGTGTTGATATTAGTAATCTTTCATAGTAAACTACGACAGAGCAAGTCTTCAACACTTACCACGATAGATTCCGTAGAGCCTGAGTTTATTGTTGACGTCCTGAATTGAAGATACTTATGTCAGCGTACACTGTTGAATGACCAAGGACGACGACATGACTTACCTCATCCTTCTCCTTGGGGTCCACAGGACGATTGACAGCTTTTAACGGAGCCATAGCAGCGTTAAAACGATGGTTCTCTTCTCCCAATGAGTCGGAAACTTCAATTGATGGGCAACAATGGCAGGGATTGTGTATTAGATAAATCCCAATAACAGTGGATTCTTGTCCCCTGGAATCAGTAACTGTATGTGGACTAATTGGGGTCGTAACTGGGGTATCACGAGGTATGGAGGACAGACACTGGTATGTGGGAAGGGAGGGGAAATGCTGATGGAGTTCAGCACCAGGTGCTTTTTAAGACAGAAGAAGTTCCTTGTGCTGTCACAGGGGGATGTGCCTGCGGGCCTGGTTTTGTTTGGCATGTTCATCGTTAATTAAACTCGCCCTTCTCCCTGGTTAGGATGAATTGACGTCAGGGTGTCGTTGCGCGAGTGCTCCCTACTTTAGGTACAGAGCACACACAGTGCTGCCAAGGGATGAATTACCACTGCCCTACATGACGCGCCCCACGGAAGTCTCCTCCTGACAGTTTCGTCAAGGGACACAGATCTAGCCCAGGTGCCTTTACGCTGATATGGTGTCCCCAGATCTCACCCTAGTTTTCCAATTCCTTTTCCCACAGCGCTAATAGAACCACATCGAGTCCTTCCCATGTGGTCCAACGAGGCTGTAAGTCTGACAACTACAGGCCTTAGCATTTGAAGGCCTGCTTGTCGCGGCATGCGATCATCATCCTGTGCGGTAGCTGAATACGTTCTTCGCTCATTTCCTTGGGTCCAAATCGCGCGTCAGGTCAGGCTGACGTCAGGAGTTCTTCAAACACAACCGAGATTCCGACCACTGAAAAAGGCCTCCATCCAGACGAAACATGGTAAGACTGGAAACCCAATCGGAGGTTTGCACCTGGATGACGGCTGGATTCGAGTGACTGTGTAAGGACAGCCATTATTGGCGCCGGCAGCAGCATATCAGCGAAGTACCAGCACGTGCTCAGACAACAGGAGGTATCATATGGTTATATGGATGCTACAGAGAACGATTGGCGCAATATCCAAACCGTTGATAGCTAATCGGCATTGGTTATCTTTTCCCTGCACATACAAATCTAACCAAAAAGGGATAGATTGAAAGAGGGTGCAATATCCTCAGTGGCCACGCGGTCAGCAGGTTTGTCCATCTCAACGACGAAATGGGGATGCTACTGCAAAGCTTTAGTATCAGAAACAGGACTGCAGCTTACTACAATAGTCAACAGAAGATTATGTGATGCTTAGCCTATAAATCTGTCAGGTCAAGAACCAGTATGTTCTCCATATACAGACATCTGGATGTTATATACAAATTGGGGTATGATGTGGTTGAATATTTTACGCCAGATGGCATGGAAAGTAGAAGACTATAAGAATTCTTACAAACTGCCTACTAGTATCATTCCGTTTATACCATTTCTCCATAGCCTCATACTCCTCTGAGTCCTCCAAGAGATCAATAGATATCAAGAATACCACCTAGTGATCAAGAAGTCCAAAACAAAACGCACTGAATTTGCCATGACTTTTGAAAATTTACAGTCTTAGTCAGTCTGCACATTCTAAACCATTGAAGTAGCATCTGACATGAAAGAGAGATGTGACCAACTCCATGTCATAACAGTCCACAACTAATTCGAGGAGAAGACGGGTTTAACCGCTCGTGTTGCTATCTAATAACTAGGTCAGCCTACAAGAGATCTCGATGGGGGAGGCAAGAAGAAAAATCAGTATGAGCCCGAAGACGTAGCTAAGCAGACACAATAATAATTCGGAAGCCTTAAAGGTTCCTGTAAGGCTTGGGTAGGATGATGCTTCAACAAGGCTCAAGCTCCACTATGGGTTTCAGCCTGGGACAAAGAATATTTATCTGAACCGTTCTATAAACGAGATTTACTAAGATAATGCACTTTAAATTGAGTTGAAACAAATTATTGCGCAAGTATCCAATCTGACCTGATGGGATCGACTAATGCAGAGTTGTCTTACCCAATGTGGTAATCACAAGTGGTTGATCACGTGCTCTCGTGAAGCGTGAACGCGACCCAAGAGGGCCAGAACAGAAGAATCACTTGAGGTTTATCTTGCCTTGCATATTGCATTACGTTCTTTTCTTATGAGCTTCTAGATGAGTGGCGCCCACACAGTATTCTGACCAGCTACACGCTTTATTCCCCTTCAGAATTCTGTGCTTGTCGCGTCATCGCCATGCCCCGCAGACATGAAAAAGTGAAGCAGACGCGCCTCATGTTCGTACCTGTGGAGTCCTCATCGCCGGCTGCAGAACGCAGTCCTGGAAGCTCGCCATTTCGACCGGCAAAACTCAGATATGAATATCCCTCGAAGGGGCTCGTTCGCCGGGGACAGCTACAACTCGAGGACTTCTCCATCGGCCGCAACCGGGCTGCGTCTTCGTCAACGAGCGCTTCTAGCGATGAGCGACCAGGTTCGTCTGCTTTAAGGCAAACGTCTGGTAAGTCATTGCAAACATCGCCTCATAAGAAAATAAAATTTGTTTACTGTTCACATGTGTCTACGAGAGTAACTAAGCTGACAATCTCGAGTTCAAAGATACCTTGAACAAGACACCCAGGCCGGTCGAAACGTCCAGTCCGATTTCCGACAACAGACACGCCGAAGAGATATCGTCGGATGATGAAGATGCTGTTAAAGCACCTGCACGGCGGCGAAGGCGGAATGTAGTTACTAGCGAGATTGAGAGCGACAATGAGTCGGAATCTGCGTCTGCTAGCACACCTACGAGGAGACAACAATCTAGTGACAGTGAAGCATCAGAACAAAGAACTGAAACGTCGCGGAGGCCTTCAACGAGACGATTACGGTCGCGTCGCGCCGTTCAAGAAGAAGACTCGGAGACAGAAATCAGGTCCCTTCCCCAGACTAGATCGGTTACTCGAGGACAGCAAAATGGCACCGAAGCATTATCACCTACGAAACGTACAAAATCTTCTGCCGTCGATCTGTCAGGGCTAGCTTCTGCAGAAACAAGTGACGCAGATGAACTGGTTACACGCCCTACTGGTCGCAAACGAAGAGCAGCTGAACCCAGCGCAACCTTCGTTGTTGACGATGATTCGGATGACTCGGATGATGTAGTAGTTTCTTCACCTGCAAAACGACGACGGAGAGAAAATGTTTCTGAGGAGCCTCGTACTCCGCGGAAGACCTCAGAACAGGACAGGCTTGACTTAGAGGAAGACCTCCGGGATCTTCAGGATTCTGGTAAGGTTGATTTTGCCAAGTATACCGGATAGGTATGCTAACACCAATTTCCAGCCGTCACCGAAACTCGCACACGAGGTCGCTTCGTGGATTCTGTCAAAGCAAAGAGACAAAAACACTTGGAGATACTACGCCGTAGACGGGCTGGCGAGAAAGTGATAAGCAGTGCCGAGTCCGAAGAAAATGGTGAAGATGACTCGGAGAGTACAAGTGACAGTGATCATTCATTCGTGAGAGAAGAACTGGGCCAAAGGAACCCATTCTCGGAAGCTGAAGATAGCGACGTCGAATTAGACATCCCAGCCAATGAAGATCTCGACCAATACGAAAAGGACTTTGTCCTGGAAGATAGCGAGGGTGAGCTGGGCGTACCCACAGAAGAGATGCCCTTTGAGTTCACTCGGCATAAGTACAAACCACTGAAAGCATGCTTCCGAGATGTGGTGGAATGGATGGTGCATAACAAGCTCAACCCGGCCTTTGCTCGTTCCGATGAGATGTATCAATCAGCTTTTCGAAAGCTAGATGACGAGGTGAAAGGTCGAACTGGCTCTCAGTTCATCTCTGCCGTTTGGAATGCCGACTTCCGTCGGGCGCTGTTGGCTCGGCCGCACATAGAGATCACGGCTTTTCCGACAACAGCAAACCATCCTTGTGATGCCTGCAAGAGGTCTGGTCACCCAGCGTCTTCTGACGTAAAACTCTATGGCAAGCCCTATTCGCTGGAGACACTTGAGCCGCTGGCCGACGAGGAGGACAGTGATAACGACGGTCTGGACAGAGATAGAGATGGGCACGTTCTTCCGGACGAAGATACTCATTTCTTGTTGGGCAGGTGAGTTAAGAACTGTTCCAAAGCATTGCATGGGAGGCTTCTACGAATCCCAAAAAAAAAATCCTCGTGATTATCGACTTATCTAATCTAACTTCTCTTTCTCGTTTAGGCATTGCAAGGCCAAAGCAGAGATGACGCACACGCTCATCCACTGGCGGTATCACCTGAACGAGTGGGTCACCGACTACCTCGAACGGAAGGGATACTTCGAGGACTCCAAGGTGGTCGAGCGCAATCAGTGGAGCCAGAAAAAGAAGAGCAGGTATGCCAACGAGGTGGTCGACATGATGGACGAGACGGGTGAAGTCCGGAGTCTCTGGCGGGACTTCCATCTCAATCTGAAGGCCGCCCGGGAGACGAGGGTAGGAAGGAATCTTCAACCATCAATAAAAACAAGAGACATGCTAATAATATATTATACAGGAAGGTCGATGGTGAGATGGATTCCATCCATCCATACAGCACTGTCTGTCTGTCTATCTAACTACATCTTAGAGGACAGACTTTGTGTTGAATTATAAGACCTCTTTAGAGAGAGACCTACTGAACAAATATGTACATGTACATACATACACACTGTACATACATACTATGAAGATGATACCCCTTTGTACTCATCAAACAAATGATTCATGACAGTGACATTGACGTTGGTCGGCTACAGCTATAGCACTATGCTTCATGGTTCAGAAAGAGGACAAAGAAAGAAAAATAATAATCATGGCTTTTTTATGATAATAATGACACTCGATGCTCGAGATAGGTATTTGTATTCAATATAATTAATTAATTTGGTAAAAGGCTGTTCTATTCAATATAATTAAATTAATTTGGTAAAAGGCTGTTTATAAGTCTATCATAAAGAAGGGGTTGGATTTAGTTACCACTCTTTCTGCCTCTCTGTCTTTTTCTCTCTCTCTTTTTTTTCTTTTTTTTTGTCTATTGACGAGTACGGTTTAATAATTGATCTGAAGAAGATGAAGGTATGTATAGTCATGCCCGGACTGAATCCATTTCATTTATCTAGTTGTTTGGTGACCGTAACATGATGATATGCATAGCATGACAGGATAAATAAAGAGAAAAAAAATCGAAATAGAAGAAGTAGTATAGCAAAATATGAATAAAACCAGGTAAGTATACAAATACACGGATCCGCACGCACGACGGCGAGATCCGAGGAAGAGAGGAGAAGAGACCACCAAGAACCAAGGATACATGTAGACGCGGATAATCCGACAAATCGACAGACGACAGAGATGGCCGACCAATCAATCGATCAATCAAGCCTCCAGCAAGCCAAGCCAATATTTTCCCTCAGTCCGTGTAAGCAGCCATGTCAATTCCAGAAAAAAGACGCCTTAAAATGCACACCCAGTCAGCCACATCTAAATGCAAAAAGTGTAGAGCCCAGATTCGCGGATCGTCATCGTAACCGAGAGCCAGTCTCAATCCCAAATAAGTCTGCTGTCCTGGATCTGCAAGAGTCTCGGACATGCATGAACTGCGTTGGACGACAGGGGGAAAGTATCAAGCGAGACGACTTGCAAATACTCCGTCATTGCATCCTTTCGTTCTTGCCGTGAGTAAGTCTTTACAGAGCTGGCTGACCAGGCTTCTTCTCTGGCAGGTTTGCCCCAGGAGTGAGCATCTGAAATAAATTTCAGGTCAGCATCTTGCTCCATTTTCTCAAAATGTGGGTAATTCATAATTATCGGTGCTTCTCATATGCTAAAACTGAGCTGGTATGGCATGAAGAGGGGAATTTTTTTAAAAAAAAAAGTTAAAGAAAAAGCGGATCGACGAACCTCGTTAGCTCCTTTGATCATGCCCTGTTCCCGCTCCATCTGAATATATTGTTCCTCCTCAGCGTAAGCAAGCGCCCAAGGGACACCCAGCAAGAAGGCGCTCGTGCTCAGAACCCATAAGGCCTTGCCGCTGAACAGGAGACTGGATTTGGTGAAAGATGTGAGGGAGGAGACGGTGGTGGTGATCCGACGCCGGGTCTGCGGAGGGATGATGTCTTTCAATGCAGCGATACGCTCGTACAGAGTCTCGTTTTCGATATCAATGCCCGAATCGGTGGAGATTTCAGAATCTGCACAACTCCGAAGAGAAGACAAGGCGGATTAGTTGATTGAAGAACTTGCAGTTTGAAGCCAGATTCCAGTCTTTGTACTGGGATAAAAATCGCCGGAACCCCGACAATGTAGAAAATGCGGAAAAGAATTCACTACTCACCTGTGTCAGTGTATTCGTCATCGTCGTCGTCGGAGGCGAGGAGGGCGTCATTCTTGGAGGGCGTGGGCTTCTCGGTCGTGAAGTGTTCGTCTTCGACCTCAGTAAGCTTGACCATTGTGGCGGATAATGTATCTCTTTAAAGTACAATTAAAAAAAGGAAGGGACCAAGGTGTAGTTAATCGAGAGGAGTTTCGATTGTTGGTGAATAGGAAGTTGGGGGAGTGGTTGAAGGTGGTTGATGTTCGCTGGATTCTGCTCAAAGTTTCGAGTTGGCATCGATCCGACTTTTTTCCCCGAGCCAAAAGTTACGAAAAGCGGCAAGAAGCTTGGACGATCCGGGACGGAGCAACCCTCCGACTTGGCGTCACCAGTCTTCTACTATCAACCATCATCCACGAATTTGCACAACATCTAGACACTGGTTTTACTCTCTATGTCAATTATTAATTGGTTTCTTTTGAGAGCAACACTTTTTGCCCCCTTTTTGTCTAGTAAATAGCTCTAACATTAACGTGCATATTATTAAGACTGTATAATTCGTCTCAGAAATTTCCCAACATCTATATATCATATAGTACAGTCGCGTGTCCCTGGATAAAAAATGAGAAGAATAAAGAAGAAATGTACAGCCCAGCGGGAGAAAGGACGGAAACGAAATCTCCCATTTTACAAAGTCAGCCACTGGCCAGGTTGCAAGCAGAGCAGAGAGATAAGATCGGAGGAAGGTCGTTGAAGTTCTGATTACTCCTACAGCCTTCCCAACTGCCATCTCGAGATACGCTCCTGGATGTCCTCCCACGGGAATGGCCGGAGCTTGTACCCTTCCAGCTCGCCTTCCTGTACAACGACTCGTGGGTTTACCCGTGCCTTGGCCCTTGTTCTGGACGCGGCCTCCAAATACCTGCTTGGCGACTCGTCGCAGATCGTCGACGGTCAGGGCCTCGATCTTCTCGCACATTTCCTTGACCCCGATCTTGCGGCCATGCACCTGCACCTGGCGGCCCAGATCCTCGAGTTCAACCATGCGCGACTCAAGGTTCATCAACAGTGATGAACGGAGTTGGTTTTTAGCTCGGTTAACCTCTTGGGGCTGGAGTGCAGAGTAGCCCGAATCTAACGTCAGGGCATGTAGTTCACGACACATCACCTCCAGCATCTGCGATGTGCGGGTAGGACTGCACGACGCAGAAATGCCAAAGAGACCGCTGTCCGTATAGCTGTGATTGAAAGCAACACAGCTCTCAACCCAGCCGTGCTGGTTTAATACATTCGTGTACAGACGGGAGTACATGCCCTTACCGGGTCCGCCCGCGGAGAAAGACCCACCTCCTCCCAGCAGGGTCTGAAGAGTGGCAAGTGCGTAGATGTCAGGAGAGGAGATGGGGAGAGCCTCAAAAGCGAGATGAATGTAGCTTAGACGAGGATGCATGGGGTTTGCTGGAGGCGGAATCGGGGGCAGGGACATATATCCTCCCGTGTAATGTGCAGGACGATTCAGATCCAACGTGGAGGACTCAAGAAGAGACGGATCCAAAGCCGACACAGTCGCATTGCGGGGAGCAGAAGTAGAAAGGTTCTTGAGGAACGGGAGCTTTGAGAGGATCTTCGAATGAGACGTGCTCGCCGGTGCATTGCTGGATGTTGTAGACGTTGGAGAGAACTGAGGGACCGTCGGCAACTGCCCTTCTTTCTTAGCGGACGCCGAGTCAGAAAGCGTAGTTTCAATTCCCTGACCACGGAACGCGGGTCCCTCGTGCGGCTTCATGTCGCCAAAATACTTCTCCGTCAGCTTCACGGCTTCGTCGTGCGGGACACCAGCAAAGGCAACGACTATCCGATCCGGATTGAAAAAGATATTTCGATATTTCTCCACAACCGCCTTGTTAATCTCGCCTAGTCGTTCTTTTGGACACAAGAGCGGGTTTCCTAGCGTGTTGTCCTTAAATGCTGCCATGTGAACCAGTTCAGGGAGAATGAGGTCGGGTTTGGCCCAGATCTCGTTGATCTCATATTCTGCCGTCGCCAACTGCTGTGCCACCTCTTCATCTGTGATCTGCGGCTCACGGATTGTCTCTGCCAGAAGGGCCAGAGTCGACGGGACGGTCGAGTTGAAACTGGCGGACTGGTACATGAGCGACTCGCGGGACGAGGCGCATTGAAGATTCCCCCCTAGTGACTCGAGTGCCTCAATCATCTCATGCGCTGACCGCGATTTGGTGGACTTGAACGCCAGGCGATCCATGATGTGGCTGACTCCACGAAGACTCTCATCTTCGTATCGCGATCCGGCATCGACGTACACTCCGACGCCGGAGAAAGGGCCGGGCAGCGACTCGCTAGCTACACGGATGCCATTTGGGAGTGTGGTGATCTGGTTGAGCTCAACCGGGTCCTATAATGTTGTAAATAAAAGGAAGATGGAAAAAGAAGTAGTTCTCAAGAAATAGAGCCATCTGCTCCCGCGGCATCACATACCTTGGTTACAGACTCGGTGGCAGTCGCAAGGCCTCTGGATACGGACCGCTGACCACGAACAAGAGGCCTAGCGGACTGAACAGTCCGGAGAGCTGAACGACGCATTCTCGCGAGTGTATGATCAACCACAAAAGAAACTGCGACGTTGACGGTCTTCAGTTTCTTTGGCGGCTGAACCCTTGAAGCCGATAAAATCACCGCGGAATAGTTTTGTTGGCACGCGACGACGAGCGGCGAACCAACCGGACGGACCGGATTATTCTGCCCGCCAAATACTGCTTATCTAATCAGCTACCTGCCAGTCTAGACTTCTCCGCTGACTACAGACAGACCATCCTTTCTGACGTCTGCCAAGGGATATTGTAATCATATTAGAAACGCCTTTTTTGTTTATATAATAATAACATATCTAGCAGGTCTATACTCAGGCGTGCTTTGCAGCCCATTGTCGGTACCAGTCCAGACAAGCCGCATTCGCAACACTGGCCCCCGTCTTGATATTCAAACCGCAGAGAATCTGCTTTACCGCGTTCTCGACCTTCTTGCCATTCGAGGTGACAGGAATCTCTGGACAGGCATCGATGATTCCTGGTACATGGCGTGGGCTGAGCTCCTTGCGAATCGCCGCCTGGATTCGCGCTACAAGGTCCTGGGATATGGTAGGGGGAGCGCCCGAGGGGGTAGCAGCGAGTTTCACGAACAGCACTACCGTTTCGTCCGTATCAATGCCTTCTCGCCTGCGTCCGACGCATAGGGCATCTTCGATCTCATTGGCAAAGTGTTTCAGGATCACATTGTATATTTCTGCACTTCCAAATCGCACACCGGCTGGTTTCAGGACACCGTCGCTTCGACCAAGCATCACAAGACCACCGGTTTGCGGGTTTATGCGTACAAAATCACCGTGGTGCCAAACTGATGGTCCAAAGACGTCAAAGTAGCTCTTTCGGTACTTCTCAGCGCCTACGGGTCCAGGAGGCCAGAACATCACCGGCTGCGAAGGAAATGGCTTCGTGCAGACGAGGTCGCCCGGCTCATTCGAGGCAGTAATGTCGTTTCCGGTGTAGTCGTACGCAGCAACTGCCATTCCCAGACCTCGACATTGGATCTCGCCTTGGTAAACGGGTAAGATAGGACAGCAGCTTCCGAAGAGCGAGATGATATCTGTTCCGCCTGTGATCGAGCCCAGCATGACATCCGGATGGAATGAAGAATAGACATACTCAAAGGTGGAGGGGGCCAACGGGGATGCGGTACTGAAGATCGCTCTCAAAGTTTGCAAAGTCGCCGGGCGGTGAGGATGGCGACGAGGATTCAGGGCGGCCTGTTCGATCATGGAGAGGTATTTTGCAGAGGTCCCAAATTGGGTGATCTGGAGTTCGTCAATGAGCCGGGGCATGGCCATCTCTCCCTTCCCGCCCTCAGGATCGAATGGCCGGAAAGGTGAGCCATCGTAGACGACGATCGTAGCGCCGCTGGCGAGCCCAGACACGAGCCAGTGCCACATCATCCAAGTCGTAGTCGTATAATAGAACAGGCGGTCACCTGGTCGAATGTCGCAGTGTAGAACATGCTCCTTCTTATGCTGTATCAGCGTGCCCAGCGCCCCGTGCACAATTGGCTTGGGTGCCCCTGTGGTCCCGGACGAGTACAGAATATAGACCGGGTGATCAGGGTCTAGTGATGCGAATTGCAGAGGAGCTGCCGGGTCCTGAACGGCTGCAATAAAATCCGCATAAAAGAATGCCCTGCCTTGATGCGGGTTGACACCTTCTAGACTGAAGTCGTGCGAAGGAACGGCTTTGAAGATCACGACATGCTCCAAGCACGGCAGCTCTGCCACCACATCTTTGATTTTTGCGTGGGTGTCATGGACTTTGCCATTGTATATCGAGGCGTTGTCAGCAAACAACAGCTTCGGCTCGATCTGCTTCAAGCGTTCCAGCACCGCATGCACGCCGGTGTCAGGCGAGATAGCAGTCCACAGGGCGCCGATGGAAGTGGCTGCCAACATGGCTACCACTGCATTGGTATTATTGCCTATCACGGCGGCGACGCGGTCCCCAGTGCAAACGCCATTCTCTTTCAAGGCATTGGCACACTGTCGGACTCTCTCCCGCAAGTCCCTCCACGAGACGTATTCGCGAGTCTCTTCGGTTGCTGCGATCACGGCGACGGCGTCGTCACCGGGACAATTTGCAGGGAACAGAAGATTCTCAGCAAAGTTGAGACGGCACCCTTCGAAGAAGTGAGGCCTTGGGAAGAGCGGGACATTCGCGTCTAATACCTGTATGTACAATCAGTTCGAAACGGTTCTTATTCACATCACGCGTCGAAGAACTTGGGAGAATCGACTTACTTTGGAATACGGTTGATGGGCCTTGACTGCGGTGTAGTGCCAAACTTCCTCCCAGAATTTGGCGGGCTCGGAGACACTCCACTGCCAGAGATCGTGATATCCGTCCAGAGCCAGGCCATACTTCCTGCTCACGAGGGTTTTGAACTCGTAGATCTGCGTCTTCTCCGGCGCAGATGGCCGCCATAGCTCTTTCACGGCCGCCTGCCCATTACTTGCAGCAGACATCCTGGGGACTGAAGATTAAGCTGATGCTTCGAGGATGAACCTGTGCAGAGCAGGGCCAGAGAAACGAGTGAGAAATTATGTTTTTTTTTTAAAAAAAAATACCATGAGGATCGTAACTATCCAGCCCCGGTTTTCGTTCTCCGAGCAGGCGGGACGGCGGGACGACCCCATGCCCGCGGGGAAGCCCGAGTTCAACCGCTGTCGGTCCGAAGAGGCGGAACGTTGGATGAGCAGAAGCCAGAAGATAATCGCATTATTCACGCCCTTTATCTGCTTTTGGCACTCGTATCTTCCGGTCTGTCATCGTGCAATTTGTATAATTTATTATTAGGGAGGATAGTGTTCTTTTTCACATTAGAATCTGAACCTATCTAGGCAGCCACTACTCCGTACTGCAGCTTCAATAGCGGGTCTTCAATTGCCAGCGCTAGTCTGGCTGATTTCTACATCAACTACTCCGTACGGAGTACTCTTCATGCTGCTTGTGGACCTTGTGCAGATCCCCTAACTCCTGCATACGGAGTACGGAGTAGTCTCCTGCAGACTGTAGCCATCTCATAGACCTCGCTCACAGAATGGTCGCGTCATACGCGCAGGATGAGGCCTGACCAGCTGGATACAGGCAGATCATAGATGGCAAAGCACAGGAGAGTCGAAGGAGCGACATCACAGCACTGATTCACATAGACAGAAGACATATGAGCCAACCAGGCAAGGGAGCTGTCAGGCGTGCTGACAGTGGTCGGCCCCTGAGCGGTGATTCGACGGAGCGGCTTGGGATTTTTAGGCAGTTCCAGGGGCGCTGCAAATTTGCACGATTACCGATCGCCGCTGCGTATTGGCGAGTCACAAGCGTGACAATACCCACAGGCGGCCCACTGCTGCCCGCGTCGCTTGTCGTTACCGCGGCGTATTGCGTGGTACGATGAAGGGAGCGTGATGTATTGCCTGCCGTATCGTACGTATCATTTCCCATCCACTCGTGCTATCCCGCTCTTGTCTAGCCCAGCACCGCTCAACGACCCTCTTCTCTCCCCATCCTCGAGTCCACGCCTCGCTCTCTTCCTTCTCTCCTAAATGACTTCCTCTGTCCCTCTGTACCGGTCTCGGTGATCGAAGCTATCGTGTGCCTCTGAGCCGCCAGGGTTGTCCTCCGTTGGACCCCCCGCGCGCGTCCTTGACCGCCTGTCTGCACCAGCCGGCTGTGTCGGATACCTTCACATCCAGCCTCCAAACGGTGCTTTTCGGGGGGTATGTTATTTGTATTGCTCTTCTCCTTTTGCCCTGGCGATGGGCCTTCCTCTCTGTCCTCATTGATCGATGGCAATTGGCCTCGATCTCCCCGCTGTCACCGCATTCCCATGCCTAACTTCCTCTGTAAGATTTGACATCCGAGGAAGCAAGCGCTAATCAACCACCGCAGTTCCCACTGGTCGTTCGTATCAGACCACGGACAGCCGCTCTCTTCCTCCGGCCAACTGTTCCCGCCAATATTCGCTGGAAGAGAGACAATCTGACCGTTTTCCCGGTCTTCCTTGGCGGCGTCTTCGACCCTCGAGTCCAGTCCGTTCCTATCATCTTGCGATGCCTCGTCGACCTACGAATCCTTTCACCAACAACTCCTCCTCTACGAATCCGCCATCCCATTCCTTCTCTCCCTCCTCCGAAAAGAGCGGAATTCCCGCCAAGGCTTCGACTTCCAAGTCAAACCGCCTGAGCCAACTCTTCTCGACCTCGCCCAAGTCCAAGGCTGAGACCTCGTCCGCACAAGCCGCCCTTCGCGCCGCCAGCGGGACGACTCCGCCCCCGAGTAGTTCGACTCCGCCGATCAGCTCGGCCTCCCTGTCCCTACCGACCATTTCACTGTCCACGGCTACCGCCGATAATTCCAACATGGAGGAGCAGCCTACCACGCTCTATCAGCCTCCATCGCCCGAGGAGGCTCGGCGCCTGGCGAAGCAGCACGCCCAGTTTGCTCCGATCAGTCACCCCAGTCATCGATACACCAGTCGACACCCTGGCGGGCCTTTCCCGGACCCCGTCATGGACGAGCCCCCTTATTATTACCTTTTGACGACCTATATCAGCTATCTCATTTTAATTGCGTTTGGTCACGTCCGTGACTTCTTCGGGAAGCGATTCAAGGAAGAGAATTACCGACACTTGAAGCCGCGCAACGGCTATGGCGCGCTGAACAGCGACTTCGATAACTTCTACGTCCGTCGTCTGAAGCTGCGGATCAACGACTGTTTCGAACGTCCCGTGACGGGGGTCCCAGGACGGTACATCACCTTGATCGACCGTGCCACTGATGACTACAACCGGCATTTTTACTTTACGGGGACGACTACGGACACGCTCAACATGAGCTCGTACAACTATCTAGGCTTCGCCCAGTCCGAAGGCCCCTGTGCGGATGCCGTCGAGGAGTCCATCCGGAAATATGGAATCAGCGCGGTCAGCACCCGGGCCGAGGTGGGAACTACGGAGCTGCATCTCGAAGTCGAGGAGCTTATCGCCAAGTTCGTGGGCAAGGAGGCAGCTATGGTCTTCTCCATGGGATTCGGTACTAACGCCACCATCTTCCCGGCATTAGTCGGCAAAGGATGCTTGGTCATCTCCGATGAGCTCAACCATGCTTCGATCCGTTTTGGTGCGCGGGTGTCCGGGGCATCTATCACGATGTTCAAGCACAATGACATGAAGTCGTTGGAAGAGAAACTCCGTGAAGCCATCTCACAGGGCCAACCACGGACACATCGGCCGTGGAAAAAGATCCTGGTTGTTGTTGAGGGCTTGTACTCCATGGAAGGCTCCATGTGTAATCTTCCCGGTCTCATTGCCCTGAAGAAGAGGTACAAGTTCTATCTTTTCATTGACGAGGCACACTCCATCGGCGCGGTCGGCCCTCGAGGAAGAGGCGTCTGTGACTACTTTGGCATCGATACGTCAGAGGTGGACATCCTGATGGGGACCCTGACCAAATCATTCGGTGCCAATGGCGGATATGTTGCGGCCGACAAGGCGATGATTGACACCCTCCGCGCTACCAACGCGGGTGTGATTTTCGGAGAAGCTCCAACGCCTCCTATTCTCACCCAGATTATGACCTCGCTTCGTATCATTACCGGAGAGCTTTGCCCTGGGCAGGGAGAGGAGCGATTGCAACGACTCGCGTTCAACTCTCGATACCTCCGTCTTGGGTTGAAGCGTCTTGGTTTCATCGTCTACGGACACGATGATTCGCCCATTATTCCCCTTCTTCTCTTCAACCCGGCCAAGATGCCAGCCTTTTCGCACGAAATGTTGAAACGCAAGATCTCGGTTGTCATTGTGGGTTATCCAGCCACGCCTCTGGTCTCGTCTCGGGCTCGTTTCTGTGTGTCGGCTGCCCACAACAAGGAGGATCTGGACCGCTTGCTTACGGCATGTGACGAGATCGGCAACGTTTTGCAACTGAAATTCTCGACCGGTATCGCCGGTGGTGCTCTCCCGCCGCCGGAAGGTATGACGCCGGAGATGGAAAAGGAGTGGCATCGACAACAGCGGGCGGGCAACGGCAAGATCAACCCGCCCCGATGGCGGCTCGAAGATGTTATCCGACGGGGTGCCCAAGACGTGAAGAGGCCGTTGATATAAAACGCTCTCCTCTTGTTATCATTATTCTTACTACTTTCGTTCCTCCGTCCTTAATGGCTCCCTTAATGTACAGAATCCGAATCGCATCATAATGTCAATGAAAAGAGGTCCAATATCTGGATGTTGCTTGCTTTTTTTTTCCTTCCTTTTTTTCACGTCTTCTTTGGGGAACTTTGGCTGGAGTTCAAGGACTGATCATCACACTTACTTCAGACGTCGTTGTTAAGAGGGGAGGTTCGGCCGTTGCTGGTCACGCCGTGTCTGTTGGAGTGAGGAAGAATACGGAGTATACTAAAAATGCATGCACCCACTGTCCTGGGATCGGATCGGATAGGATTGATCCTATGATTATTATCATTGTCATTATTCATTATTCTCATTATCGTCATCCCTGACCTGCAGACAACACCATCACCACCATACACACATGCCTCTTCATCCTCAAACGACCTACTTCTTCTTCCGTCTCCGTCTCCGTACAAAAACACAAGATGACTTCTGCATAGAAGACCAAGTATATACAATACACAGCGGAGTGGAAAGGATTGATTGATTGATTGGAGTTCAGGTAGTTGAGTTGATTGAATCTGGTTGATAATGGTGGTGATTGATAGAGTTGACTGTCGATTAGGGCTTTTCATTTCATTTTACTTCATTTTCATTTCATTCTACTACAAAACATTCATCTTATTATTTATTTATTTATTAATGGATACTTAGTATATTATATTGCATATATTATTAGATCGTGTTGTGAATACATACATATACCTACTTCAACATTATTATTATTCTCATTATTATTCTTATGTAATACGTAACTCTAAGCTGATGATGATGTTCATCGTACCTTACTACCTGGGTAGGTAATTTACGTAAATACGTAGAAGATAGGTAGCAGAAAGTAGTAAATAGTAAACGATATATATCTCACTAAGAGAGAGAGGTTAGAAATCCTGTTTATTGCTGATAATTCTTGTCTTCCTGCATGCACCAAATCCCATTAGCATATATTGCTCTAGTAGAGTGGAATAAATAAAATAATTATAATCGTATCTTCTCTAAAACCCTGTTGTGTCCTCGCCGTACCATAAACGCCCGTTCATCCTGCATGCAGCATCAACAATAAATTGTTGTCCCCATGTAAACCCCTCTTTGCCACAGAAAAGTAAGTAGTGGAACATGCACCGAAAAAAAAAAGCCCCGACAGAGTGTTGAATCATCACCCGTCCGTACATATGTATGTACAAGAAGTGTAAATCAAAGAAAATGGATCAAACCCGCAACGCTCAAGTAAGCATATGCATGCAATATCTAAACCGCGCCGTATCTATCATGAACGCCCGCGAGCAGTGCTCGAGCTTCGTCCGGAGCAGCGGGCTCTTTATCTCCCGAGGGAATCCAACCTCTCATCCATCCGCTGACTCTCCTCCACCGGCTGCGGCCGCCTCGTGGGTCGTTCACTCTGACCACGGGCTCTGCACCCCTCTCGCCGTATATCAAGAACTGGACACCCATCAAGGCATCCAAACTGAGAACCCCAGCAGCTCCCAGGAAGAAAGGAATAGCGAGTCCCACCCATTCCAAACGGTTATTTCCACCCGCGTCGGCCCAGCCTCCGCCACCATAGGGTGGAAAATCATACCAAGCGTTTGGATTCGTGAGCAACGATGCCGAATAGAAAAAGTTCCCTCCGAATGCGGCCATGAACAGCAATGGGGATAGCCCCGAAGTACTCTTCCGGCGGTAATTCTTGTAGAGTTGAGGGAGCCGCGAACCCAGGTACAGAGTGGTGGATATCCAGGATAGGATGCGGCCGACCATCTCAGTAGCCGATTCGTGAGAATCTTCCAGCAGCTGGGGGCCTGAATGTGAGCCTGTAGGGGATGCATTGGCCAACATGGCGCAGAGCATTGATGTAAGAAGTATTGACTTTGGCGAAACTGTTGGCAGGCTTCCGCTTGCCGTGCGGGACGTAGAACGGCGAAAACTTGACTTCTCGTTGGAGTAGGACGGAGAGTAGAACTGCGGAGAATCGGTGGTGTTGCTCTTGGACAAACCTACGGTTTTCGGTTCAGAAGGCCAGGTACGCTCTGGAGAAGCGCTTCGGATGGTGCCATCTTCGGAGGGCGCGATGCCTTCAAAGATGTCCCCGTGGCCACCCCGATAATCGATGCTGTCAAGACCGATTTTCCCTTTCCCCTGCCCTCTGACGTACGTGTACCAGAAATACTGGATCACGAGCACAACATCAACAAATACGTAGTAAGAAGCAATTATCACCTGCCAGCCGGCCTGCCGGGTGAATATCGCTCCCAACAAGTTCGCCGTGTCCCCCAGACACCACTCCACCAAGAAGAACACCGACAAGCCCGCGGTCGATTGCAACTTGTAATTCTTGTAGATCTGAGGAAGCTGGGCGAACAGCCATGATAAGATGCTGAGACAACCAAGGATCGTCGAGACCAAGCCCAGAGCGGTCGGAACGCACGTATGAAGCCTCGACGAGATCACAGTCAGGAATTCCGATGCCGGTTCACAGTGCTTCGGAAGTGAGGGTCCGTCGAGGATCTGTAATAACCGTGACATTATCCTCTCTGCATAAATAGACTTCTGATACCCAGCGGTGAGGGTTGCGAATTGCGGTAGATAAGACCGAACGGCAGTGAAGGGAAGGACGACAAGAGTCAGCTGTAAGGACAGTCACTTATAACAGGCTGGACAGTCGCAAGCAGGCAACCCCCACACCAGGTATGTACAACAGATGAGTGCCGCGCGATGGCACCTTGGATCGGAATGTAGTCACGCGTTACTGTCACTGATAAGGATGGAGCAACAGTAATCCAGGGTGCACATCGAGTGGAAGTTGTGGACAGTTGAACTGGAAGAACCGGCAACGGAGGACAAGAGGCTGCAAGAGAGGACGAAGACGAAGACGAAGACGAAGATGATTGTTGTCCGCCTGAAGGCTGCAGGCGTTGGGGGCTCGAGGGCGAGGGAGTCACACCCGAGACCGCCCAAACCGGAAAGCCCAGCGGGAGCGGTATCCGCGATAAGGCGAGCGGGCGGTGATTCGTCCTTCCCCACAAGGAACACCGCCCAGAAACCCCGATCGTCCTATCAGCGCCGCCTCTGCAGCGATTTCTTGTAGTCAGCAGATCCAGTCATCCTCACCGATACGGAGGACTCCGGAGTATGGGCCCCCTTCCGACTGCAGGCTGATAACGAAGGAGCATCGTCAGACTCCACAGCTGCTGAAGGATCAATGATGCTACCACACTGCAGAGGAACAAATGAACGATGGAGAACAGGCTGGCTGAGGGGAAGGTTCTGGTTTTCAAGGACATTATCAAGTGCTCCGTGCGCCTGTTGCAGAGCAAGGATCGTGAGATTCGTGACGTGGACGATTGGCTTCCAGGACTGCCTATCACGTGCCATACTCCTTCCCCGCGATAATCAATCTGAATCGTGGGGTCGACTCCAGTAGTTTGGCTAGGCTAAGCAGTGTACATGCTATTCTATCCAATAGGGCCTGTAACTATTTCTACATACATGCATCACAGTGCACAAAATCCCCCTTCGCCAGATTGTGCGACACGAACCAGTTGTAACCTCAGGACATCAAAAACCAACAGAAAGCGACAAGTAACAAGTTCATGAACCCTGCATTGTAACTGTCCTGGTTTTTCATCCAACTTTCGCTGGACGAAGCAGACAGAAAAATGACAAAAAAAGCCGTAATCCCTCAGTATCTAAGACGACAATCTCTGAAGCCAAAATATTCTATTCCGAATCACAACCTAGAATATCATGTTCTCTGTGACGAGAGCCTTTCTCATTGGCTGATACAGTCGACGTTGCGATCCCATATCTCCCAAGACTTTTACCCCTGGCTTGCACAGTGGAAGGCAAAGAAAATTGAGATTCATCACCACATTGCCCCCGCCATCAGCACTGCTCCAGCTACTAACCCTCCGACGATCAGTTGAGACAGCTGTTTTGACTGAGATGCGTCGTTCCCCAGTATATTGAATGCATCTCCCACTCCTCCAAATCCTTTCGCCTCGATATTAGTGGTACTGCTGGCCGCAGACGACGTCGTCCTTGAAGCTCGACTCTGCTCAGTGTTGGTCGTCGTGATTGTACCCGTTGTGGCACCAATCGAAATCTCAAGCGTCGACGGCGATGGTGTCGTAGACGTGACTGACGAGGAGGTGCTTGTGCTTGTTGCGGATATCGAAGTCGCAGCAGCGGTAGGTTGCGGAGAGGCAGTAGAAGTTTGTTCCTGTGATGTTGTCTGCGTGGTCGACGTAGTAGTAGTTGTTGTTTCGGCGGTCTGACTCGCTGGTTGAGAATTGGTAGATGCTGGCTCGGCGGAGAAGGGTTGTGTCTGAGAGGTGCTCTCTATGAACGTGGTTTCTGTCGTTGTCGAAGCCTCATCGACATTGGGGCAGAGGATCGAGACACCCGATCCTTGGAGGAATTGTCCCAGCAACGTATCACTGTCGACATGGGCGTCATGACATGCCCGCTTCACCTCTTCACTGATGATATCCAATCCAGCAACGCAAACTGCAGAACACGTTCGGTGTTTGCCGAAATCCCTCGTCGTACACCCGGGAATTGTCTCAGTCCAGACCGCCATACATGAGTCCGAGAAACCTGCGATTTGCTGAAACTGCGAAAGAGAGACTGAAGCGGCATGCTTGATGGAGAGGAGCAAGGGGAGGAATAGTCTCTTGTTGCGGAACGGACCCATTCTTGGACACAAGAGCCCTGCTGTTAACGGTATTGGGATGAGATTCGTCGTCAAGGTCAATCGGCCGGTATGGTATGTTGCATATATATAGATCAGATTCAAAACTCCAAATCCCTCTCCCAATTCCCAGATTTTGAACTTCGAGAAGTGATGGAATACGGCGCACCACTTTCCAGAGGAGTTAGGACACGATAAAGAAAGGCGTGATAACGTATATGTTGAAACGAATGGGTGCGACAGAAGGTGTTTGAGATGACCCAGGACCGGCGCCTAAAGATAGAACCTCTCTCTCAAGAAACAAGCAAGCCAAGATACTGGGACACAATCGAGAAAGAAGCTGTTTGAATGTCAGAGAAATATAATTAAGCTGGCTAAGCACAGTCTCAGTGAAGAGACAGAGGTGACAGTTCCTTCAGTCGAAACCTGCGATAGAGACTTCAACAAATAAGAAAACAGTATTGCTTAGCCAGGATAGGTAGAAACTGCTGAATAAACAATATTCCTTATTCCATACTACTGCTGGGGTTAGCAAATAATTGAGGAACAGAGAAAGGTGGGAAACAGGTACAAGTACAACCGCACAGTACACACATACCTAGTGATCGCATCTCGCATGCCAACCATAGCTTACTTAGTATTCCCCTCCTCCCTTGGGAACTGCAGGAAGATCCGACCCTAACAGATTCAGGCTAACTATCACACTCAAAATCGGAAATTCCGACGCTGATTGATCTTTTTTCGTCCATCAGGTTGTGTGGCCACTGTCACTCCTTGCGTTTCTGAATGCTTGGCACAAGCCAATAGATTTCCCCAAGTCACTAAGGGCATGATGGGTGTTTCAGGATCCTCTTAAAATTGGGACGAACCATTCGTGCCTGCGAGTGGAACTGGTCTGACAACATGAAACAGCAAATGTTGCGCTTTCCAGTCCCGGCGGCTAGATATGACAGCATTACATGGAATTTCTTGGAGTTGCGATCTTATTAAGAAGTCGAGTGGCCATCGCGTAAATTGTAATATGTAAATGTATAACTCTCTGGAAAGCTGTATAATGGAGATTAAAGTATCGCCATTCAGAAAGTCCAGGTTTGTCGCATGCTCTGTACAAGAGTAGTATGTATTAACACGAGATTGAATCTGCCTCTGTATCTGCCATTGCCTCTTAGGAACCGAAAACTGGGTATCCAACTAAGTGTAATTGAGCCAGCTCTTCTGAAATACATGTACATACACCATGGAATATACAACCATGCTATCTATAATCGTGTGTCACCCAGGCATGTACGGTACTGTACACTTCATGGAACAATAAACAGGCACATCACAAGAGAAGACAAAAAAAAGGCCAATATGTACCAAGTCATAAAACTGATCACCATTACCACCCACTGCCCCAAGAGCTGTCCCCATGGCTGCTACCTCCATGGTGGGAACTATGGGAACTGTGGTGATGATGGTGGCTATGGTGACTATGGTGGTGTTTGTGGTGATGTCCATGGCCATGCTCATGGTGTTTCTTCTCGAGCTTATCACCAATGAAGTTGCCCAGCAGAGCGCCGCCCACTGCTCCAAGTAACCCATGATTGTGTTTGTGACCAATATAGTACCCAGCGGCGCCTCCAAGAAGAGAGCTTCCTAGGCCGCGCTCTCCCTCAGGAGCATTTGGGTCCGCCGGCGCACTTTCACCTGCTGGGGGCGGTGGTGGCTGCTGATGTTGGGGGTTGTTTGGGTCATATTGCGGCGGTTGGGGGTGCGGTGATGGCGACGGAGAGTATCCTCGAGTATCTGGGGGCGGACCGCCGCTATATAAGATCATGATGTGAGTGCGTCTTCGACCAAGTCATAGCAATATAACAGGTGCAAACCGGCAGAAAAGAGGACAGGGGCCGTGGTGGAAGATTTGACATACTAGTATCCCGGATGACCTTGTGGATTACTGGCATTATAGGCCCCAAACTGGCCACCTTCGTATCCATGCTGGAAACCACCGACGGTCGGGGGACCAAACGAGTCCTGGCGCCGCGGTGGTCCAAAACCCTCAGTCGCGCCGCCGCCCTGGTATGGAACGGGAGGTTGATAAGAGCCTTGGGGATGTTGGTAGCCAGTATTTGGATCCTGAGGGGGCTGCGATGCATAGCCGTATGGTGGCTGCTGAGCCTGGGCAGGGTCATGATATTGACCACCGCTGGGGGGATATCCCGGTTGTGGAGGACAGGAGTGTTGATAGTACGGATCAGACATATCGATAGATTTGCAAATTTAATTAAGCCTGAAGTTATTGCAAAGGAGAAGACCGCGAGAGAGTGAGAAACAGTCAGGAATACTATGTTATTATTATCATTACTTTGCTTTGGTCATCGCTCTGGTCCCGTGGTTCTGCAGCGGGCAACCCCGCCGTCGTCCTTCAAGTGACTTCTGAATGGCCAGATTGCATGTCAGCTCCCAACGAGACTGTGGGTACATACAGGGTAGCTAGCTAAGGTATCTCCAATGCGGAGCCTTGAGGGGCGCAGCTGACACCGGAAGTTGTCAAATGACCTCATATGCTGATGGATCCATAACTAGTTGCATGCCCGAGAAGGGCACCTGAGATACCTTGTTATGTCAGTTATGGATGAATGCGTTGTTTCTTGAAGATTCATGGCTTAGATAACAAAAGTGGTATTTATACGTCGAAGTAAGCACTAACCCCGAACCTTGAGGAACCAGTACTAACTACATCGAGGAAGAAAAGAAAAAAAAGAAACACCCAAACAGAAATCCTCACATGTAAACCGGGGTATTCGGACGGGTCGAGAATAAAATACCAACAGCAACTCCCAAAATCGAGGGAAAGAACTGAAATTAGCACAGGGTCCACCGCAGTGTGCTGAATGCAAAGATCTCCTGGATGAATGTTGATACAAAAAGTTGACCGACAATCACACATGTCAACGGAGATATCGGTCGATGCTGGCAAGTCAAGGTTTGTGAAAAAGGTGGTGGTGGAAGGGAATAAAAGGCCACCACAAGAATCACTAACCCAAAAAAAAGAAAAAGAAAAAGAAAAAGAAAAGAAAAGAAAAGAAAAGAAAAGAAAAGAAAAGAAAAGAAAAAAGAAAGAAAGAAAGAAAGAACGAAAGAACGAAGAACGAAAGAAAGGAGGTGAGAAGAAAAAAATTCAAATAAGAACGGCGGCAGAGACAAGAGCAAGAAAAGCAGGGAATCAAGTGTATCATCATTTCACAACCATCATATACTGATTGCTCTCGTATTTTGTTTCTTCATAGGGGTATTTCTTCCTCATAACTTCACCAGCAACAAACATCATGAGAAGAGGGAAAAGGGTTATAGCATCACGCATAGCTCGGTGATATACAGGAATGGACTTATATTGCCCGGACGCAATCGACCTTCCAACGAGAGAGTTCGACGCTCATTTATTGGCAAGACGCTCAAGTTTGCGAGAAACCCAAGCCGATAGCATTTCGTCAAGTTGACTAGACATCTCCTTAAGCCGTTTGCTTTCCTCCTTGAAGAGACTGCCAGTGATTGGATGGTCAGGGCCGGCGGGTTGAACATTGGACTTATCATGGACAATGATGAGGAGGTCACGAATATCATGTTCATTGTCAAGATACGACCGCAAACTGGCGTCGCTCCATGTCGAGTGGGTTGTAGACGATACAGTGGACATGGGCGTTGTGTCCTCCGCCTTCGTTTCAGCAGCATCAATGAGTTCAGGAGATGATGACTGCGGCGACAATGGAGAAATAGAGCGTTCGTCTGTATCCGCCATCAATCCCGGTAGCTGGGAAGGGGCCTGGACTGCTATCGGGGAAACATCGACAGGAGATTCTGACAGTGTTTCCCGGCGGTCCGGGGTCGGTCTCTGTGGGGCTTGCTGAACCGGCGAAGTGATGGACCCAGACTGATCGGTGGGAGACGATATGCTGGCTGGTTCTTCTCGTTCCACATCGTCGTACGGCTTGGATGTGGTATCCGTTGGGGATACTGAATCAACTGTTTTGACAGGTGATTGCGCATCCCCGTTGGCATTCGACTGATCTGATGGAGGGGATATCGTAGGTTCGCGTGCTGGTTCGGGAGATCGCAAACGAAGAGGTGCAGGAACGTCTGCCGGTTGAGGAGATACAACCTGCCGAATAGACTGTCCGAAATCCTCTTTGGTTGGTGAAGACGCATCGTTTGACTCTTGAGGCGCACGGTTCTGCTGGAGATCCCCTTTGGCGAGAGACAACTCTGCTGGTGGCTGTTTTTGCAATTTGCTTGACTGCCGTTGCGGTCCTTGCAGCTTTCCGTTGCGAGCTTCTTGCAAGGATTCCGATGATAGCTTGGGTTGTGGTGATGATCGGGCTGACTCTTCCGATGTTTTCTCGGGCTCCTCAACATCCTCTTCTGGCACTTTCCCTTTCTTATCCTTCCTTTTGAAGAGGCCACTGAGCATTCCGGGTTTCTTCTCTTTCCGCTTGTTTTTCTCGCCCGATGCCGAGCTCTTATCTTCAAGGCTGGAACGGCCCTATCAGTGATAAAATGTGTCAGTACTACTATATTATGAAGGGGAGAGGAGGAGAGGGAACTCTACCTCTTTCGTATCGTTTGTGAGACTACTGGTTGAATCATCCCGAAGAAGGTTCGGGGTTAACGATATCTTCTTTGTCTCCACACTATCATCTTTAAAGAACGAATCCGTGTTTCGGACAGTGCCGTTTCTCGACCTGCTGACGAAATTGTCTGCCGAGACAGAATTAGTCAAGACTCGAAAGGAAATGGATATGAATATGTACCTTGTCTTTCAGGCATCTCATCACTAGTTCGGGGCTTCTCCGGGCTCGCACGGTCGGATTGTTGGTCTTGAGATGCCACTTCAGACTCGCTGAGGGCTTTTTCTTTGTGAGACTTCGGCCTCAGCGGTTCCACGACCATGCTCTCATCTCGAACGTCTTCTTGGGTATCTTGGGAATCTGCTCGGCTTGCCTCTTCTTCTTCCTCCACTTCCTCACCCTCACGGTGCTCCTCCTCAGACGAGTAATCTACATCGGATGCTTCGAAGTACGTAGGAGATGCGAAAGTCACAGTCTTTGCATTCCTGCGGCGCATTGCCTTTTTCAGAGGATTTTTGGACTTCTCTGGATTGTCTCCGAGCATTGTCGCAGAAAGCTAAAAGAAACAAAAAAAAATCTTTAGAATATGCCCCATATGAACGCTGGGGGAGGTTGCTTACATCAATATTCCGATGCTTATTCAATCGGGCCAACCTCTCCGTAGGTGTTTCAATGTGTTCTGCAGGCAGGTAACCTACAAAGATATTAGGCGGAATCGCAGTACACAAGAGTAGTGGAAACTCACCAATGCTGCCATCTTTGACGATTCGGACAAGCCACCAATAACTGTTGCTATCGTCTAAGAGAACCATTGTGTCTCCCTTGGTGGCATTCGCTTGCCCCTCAACCGTAGCGACGAACGTATGGAGCGCGTAAACAAACTCGAAATCAATGTCCTCTATTTCTTCGTAAGCATTCGCCTTCCCTGAAGTCGCTGGGCCGACACGAAGTAACCCAAAGGGATCGCAACATAAGGAACAAACAGCCCCGACCCTGAGCAGGATCGAGATGATATCATAGGCCTAGACAAGGAACAGGCGATTTATGCCGATACATGGGTAGGAGATGCGTAATTGGAGAGACATGTTGAAAATAGCACCCACCATCGTCAATTGAGGGCGAAGACGAGATCTTGTCCATCAAGTCCTCGTCCAGAATATCGTCTCCTTCGCCGTCAGCTAGATCCCCTTCCTCTCCAGACACACCACCACCCATATGGTGGCCATAGTGCCCATTCTGGCCATCGCCCGTCATGTCTGTCACCATCTCTTCTGGTTCGTCATATATGATATCAATTCCGTTGTGTTGGTCTTCAGACTCGAAGCGATCCTCTGAAGTTTGGGACAGTTCTTCTTTGCTGCCTTGCTCTGCATGGTACAAAGATTGATTCTGATGGGGCGCGGACCGGCCGGCCCCAATGCGCGACCGACTGTGGTCTTGGGCTGATGGGGCATGGGGGTCTTGGAGGTCGATCGTATCTAATTATCACGTGTTGATCAGCACAAGTGTTTGGAGTAGCATCCCAGGGACGGAGGAAAGCCCAGAGGAACGTCCGTACCGGCCCGTATCAATGGCGGCCTCGCCATGATTGCACCTTGTCAAGGGAGCGTCGAGCAAATTAAGGGAGCGAACGAGAAACAGTGAACGGGTAACCAGGGGTGTGGCAGGTCCCGATCATGGAGGCAGGGCGGAATCAGCGCGCACTAAAACGGCTCACTGAGTCGTTAGGTATTTTGTACGCCTCAGTCAGAAGGATGGATCGTCTAGCGGCGGAGATTTCTAACAGTACTGGGTTCTGGAGGGAAGGCAATACGGAGGCCGCTGGCTAGGAGCAGACAAGACGACCACGTTCCACGTTGGAAGCTTATCACGATAGGACGGCGGGGGTGCAAAAGAACGAAAGACGGAGTACACGGTACTGCCGTCAGAGGGCACGAAATTGGGAAAGGAGGGCTTGACTGGACACCCGTTATTTGGGTCTTGGAGCTGGTCGATCTGGTGGAGGTCCTCGTGGTGGTAGTAGTCTCCGGGGCTGGATGCTCAAAAGGGGGCTTGATGTTCGCTGCCCGACTCTGAAACAAGCGCCCCTTGCGCGCGGCTATCGCAACCCCTAAGAGAGAAGCGCGGACTACCCAACTAGGTAGGTAGCTACCACAATTGCCCTCCCAAAGCAGGACTATTGTTACTATTAGATAAAGCATCTGCTCTTAGAATAAGATAAAAAGTCTTCGTTAATTTTATGAAACTAAATGTAATGGTGCAAGATCACCTACTAACATACCTATTATTCTTTATTGAACCATGTTAGTCTTCAGGAAGAATATATAGTCCGTGACGTGCTATTATTATGACCTGGAGGAAACTAGGAACAAAAATAGGAAGGCGGTAATAGCTTTCTTGGACTCTGATGCATTTGTGGATCTATCAATTTACTATCGCAAGAGGGCTGGTTTCCATCAACAAGAGCAGGCGGGGGAATGAGCTGTTTTCAATGCCTAGGCACAGAAGGCGGCACAAGGAATGCGGGGAAACAAAAAGAACCACAAAAGTGCCACGAATTGTAGAAAAAGCACGGCATAAAAAGGCAGGCAGTTGTTTGTTGCCGTTGTAGGTATATCACGATGTCACGTGAGGAGGGGGCGCCGAAAACGGAGCGGGTGGCTCGCCTGAGAGGGCGAACTCCGGATGGCGCTAACCAAAAGCTGCGGCACGGTGGCAGTCCTCCGCCGCCAGTTGGCTCCCGCGTTTTCGCTCTAAACCTTAGATCGCCTCTGTCACTTTTCGTCCGTGTCGCCCCTCGTCCCTTAACCCGGCCGTTTCCCTGCTGCCATCCTAGCATCCCCCGGCCCTCTAATATCATTCATCGGTCTCCATCTCTCTCAGTCTAGTCTCCAACGGCGTTGCAGCATCCAAGTGTCCTGCTGCTGGTACGACGTCATCACTCGAAGCAACTTAGTTAAGATAGCGCCCTCGCTATCGGTGGATCCGCGGCCATATTTTCTCCCACCTTTTAGCATCTCCTCCGGTGCAAGCGGACGTTTGCAAAACGCTCAGCCAATACAAGCCTCTTGCGAGGGATCCTGGTTATGGTTTGCATGCACCTGTGGTCGGCATTCGCGCTCAGTGTCATCTCGTGCTCTCCGGGAGGGCATGGCGTATGCTGAAAGAGAATCTTTCACAGGGTTGATCATCGATACAGCCTTTGCCCGTGGGCAATCTCCTAGCGGGGCGCGCGAACATGGAGGAGACCAGAGATCAAATGCAGGAGTCGGGGGAAGGGGCAGTTCAAAGGCTCCCCGCCATCTCGGGCCAGATGTTCGAAATGATGATGGAGACAGCAGTATATTAAATGAGTTGCATACAGAAACGCCTCCAATCTCTGTTCCTCGACCTGATGATCACCAATTTCCCCAGGACGGGGCGGACCTTACCTATTCGCACAAACCCGAAGATTCCTTTTCATCCCCCCTTGGAGACTTCCTCCGGGAGCGCCGCCCGTCTATCAGTTTCCACCCAGAGGTAAAACTTGATACTGGCCACCACCACGCGCTCAACGAGCCGCTGGCACGGGGTGATACGAGGGGCACAGCGTACAATAGACCTCAACTGCGACCATCTGCATTGCGCAAGATTCACGCTCAACAAGATGAAGCGTTCGACTCTTATGGACGAGTCCCCCGTCCCACTTCGGCAAGAAGGCGGATTCAGCGACCGTTCCCTACAGGCAACGGGTTTGTCCCAGAAGCAGAGGAGGATTTTTTGGTGGGATCTGAGCTCGACCATCCGACTTCGCTCACGTCGATCTCCACCGTGTCTCCAACTACCGAGGAACTTCGAACTCCTTCTGAAGGGCCCCGGGAAGGCTCCAGGGACATGCTCCTTTCTCCTCTGTCTATGTCACCTACTGCGCAGCGAGCCGCCTCTCTCGACGATCCCAATCTATGGTCTATGGGTGCTGGAGCGTCACCCTGGAATAAGCCACGGAGTTATACGTTTGACAGACATGGGAGTCTACGACAGACTGTGCGTCAAGGCTCCCGTCGATCGACCGGGTCGAGCGGCAAATCTCCTGCAAGCATGTTTCTGTCAATGTGGAGTAGTCGTGACGAAGCTCCTCCTGCTCCTCAACCGGATGATGAAGGGCAAATGGTGGGGACAGAGTATGTGTTGGGCAAGCAAATCGGATACGGAGGGTTTAGCACTGTCAAGGAAGCCTTCAAGGTCGAGGAGACTGGCAGAACCAGACGCCTCGCAGTCAAGATCGTGAAAAAGCACGTGAGCGGGAAAAGTGAGAGGGAGAATGATCAGGTTCAGGCTGAGTTTGATCACGAAGTTCGCATTTGGCGCTATCTTAACCACCCACATGTCCTCTCCTTGGAGGCTGTTTACGAGACGGACTATGCGACCTTCTGTTTCACCAAGTTAGCTATCGGTGGCACGCTCTTTGATTTGATTCGTGCCAATCGCAGCGGCTTGGAGATGAAGCTTGCTAAGAAGTATGCCTACCAGTTGGCCTCAGCCATCCGGTATCTGCATGAGGATGCCCGGATCGTCCACCGAGATATCAAACTCGAGAATTGTCTGTTGGACCCTGTGAAGTTGGAGGACGGAACGGAGACGGCGAATCTTGTTCTTTGCGATTTTGGAATGGCGGAATGGATGAGCACGGACAATGGAGGCGGTCCACTGGACCCTTACGACAACCCGGCAGACCGCCCTCCGCCAAAGAACATAGGCCCGTCTGGTTCCAGCACCAGTGTGGCAGGGAGCCTGGAATACGCTTCACCAGAACTTCTACTCTCATCTACTGGTATTATCGACCCGGCAGTCGACATCTGGGCTTTCGGTGTTGTCGCATTTGCGGTTGTGGTCGGCTCTCGGCCATTCCAGCACGGCTTCGCGCCGCGGATCCAAGCGAACATCATCAAAGGTGAATGGGACCAATACGCCGTGCTCGCAGGTGGCACTGATACTCAAGCCCGGCAAGAGGCTCTCGAGTTGATCAAGGGCTGCCTTGAGATGGATATGAATGCGCGGTGGACCATCCGACAAGTTCTGGATTCTGCGTGGTTGCAGGAATGCTCTCAGAGCGCGGAAGAGGCGCCAGAGTCGACATGGAGGCTCTAGAGCCTGAACGACTTTCATCTTCTACTTTATGTTTGATTTCTGGCGGTATTTACTGGTTTTTTTTGGGAGGATCTATGGTTATGGATATTCGGTGGCTAGGTCGTCTTTTTTCTGAAGGTTTCCATGGGATTACGGATATGATTTTTTTTTTCGAAAGGGCTGGTGATGTCGGGTAAATTCTCTGGAGGTTTGGGCTTGGTAAGGATCGTTTTCGGGTGCTTGTTATGAGGAATCGAGCACCACGGTTGATACAACGATCTATGATACCCGCGTCCATCTTTGAAAAAAATGTTCTAATGCTTTGCGATTGATTGATTGATTGATTGATTTATCATTGATACGATGTGACTTATTGATTCATTGTTGATGGCTTTCAGTATGAGCAGGCAAGGCGTTGGTTCGTTCTGTTTTCTTCTTTTTCCCTTTTTTTTCGGGCAGGATCTAATAATCTCTCGGTGGTTTTCCCCTCGTCTTTTTTTCTCATCTCCCCCTCTGGTGTATATAATTTTACTCAGCTTTTTTTCCCCTTTTTTTTTGTCCTCTTTTTTACAAGTGGCATGTATTTTTATACTGGTTTGATGTTGCGGGGTTTTCTGCCTTTTCGTTGCTATTTCTCTGCTGTCTTTGACGCAAGATCTCCTTTAATGTAACTAGTTGATGGATGGTTTTCTCTACTCTCAAAAAAATCAATTACTATCTTTGAGGGTTCAATGCTACGGTGTTGGATTGTTTGTTCGGATCACTGAGACATTGCACTTTCCATTCACTTGTATAGTTACATAAGTACATTTCCTGAAATACAATGGGGACTAGGGTACTGAATACATGCAACGAAAAATAAAACGGACTGAATCGAGAGAAATTCAGGACTACCAGAGTCTGTTCTCTGGAAGGGTCTTCTCCTTCTTGACACCCGCGGCCGACTTCCTCTCGGCCGGGGAAACGAAGAACAGACTGGGCGATTCGTTGGGCTTGAGGAGATGGCTCAGATAGCCTCGGTGCGCCGGATCACGGTAGTATTCGATGTCCTTTCGGTTGGTCGGGTCTGGCAAGCGGTACTGGTACCCCATGCGCTTCATGATCTCGGACTCGACAATTGGCCCGTCACCCACACCCAGGGCCTTGTTGAGGAACTCGTTACCAGTCTCCTTCGTCCATGCCGTCGACAGGAATGGATGTGTCTGTCTCCTCAGAATCCGCTGGATGGAGGAGCGGGTGTAGAACCGCGTCGTCACCGATCCGCCCGCAGCTTCGACGGCGGCGATGGCGGAGGCAGAGGCGCGGGAGACGACGACGTGGATGGGCTGCTTCAGAGCACCATCTTTTCCTCGGCCAAGCAGCTTGACACCGTCTTTGGCCTGGTGAATGCAGCGGGACTGGGCAAGTTCCTTGACAGTGATGGGCCGGTTAGGGTCGATGCGGCCTTGGTCGATCCACTCTTGGATGCGATCCAGGTTGACGGGAGCGAGGTCGATCGAGAAACTTGAATCCAAAGCGATGTCAGACAAGCTCACAATCACAATCACACAAGTCCCGCGAAACCAAGGAGCAAGGATAAGGACGGATACCAAACGTACATGTTCTTGAAACCACGTTCTCCGTGGACTATATGGTCGGGCGTCTGACCACCATTGAAGCCTGCGGGCACCTTTCCGTGCTGCTTCTGACCCTTGTGACCTCTTCCTGATGTTTTGCCTTTTCCAGACGCCGGACCTCGACCTCTTCGAATCCTCTTGTTGTATGCGCCGGGGGTATCTGACAGAGAGGCTAGGATGTGGGCATTACGGCCCTGCTGCTGGAATTGAGGGAAAAGGAAAGACAGCGGAGAGAAAGACAGGCTCGGCCATGGGGATAGCCGTGCCGACAGCACGGGAAGCCGTGGAGGCATGGTTGCTGAATGCAGGTCTCGATCACCACCTCGTCGCCCAACCGTGACCTGATGGAGATGTTTTCTACGGACGTTGGTCTGGCCGGGTGCGGAAAAACCTTGCGCCGGCCGCCTGGAACCTGCGGCGCTGGAAACAGGCTTAATGTTGCTTAATAAGCGGTATCTGGTAACGTAATTCCCAACCGAACCGGACACCCGACCGAGCCGGACACCCCATCCAAAGTCCACGCGTTTAGGATACTGAAGCTATTCAAACAACCACCATGCCACCAAAATCGCGTCTATCGTCTCGAGACTTGGTGGAACAAGAGGGGAGGATCCAACTCGCGATCTCTGCTTTAAAAAACAACGAAATCCCAAGTGTTCGTCGTGCAGCGGAGGTTTTTAATGTGCCTAAATCTACACTTCATGACCGACTGACTGGCCACCATTTTCGAATCGAACAACGTGCCAATGGCCACAGGCTATCTCAAACTCAGGAAGATGCTTTGATACAATGGATACTATCTAGGGATTCACGTGGAGTACCTCCTAGGCCTTCCCATGTACAGGAGATGGCTAATATTATTCT